TACATACATACATACATACATAGACGTACATCTCTTGTATGCAATGGCTTGGAACTTTGGCCTTTTCGATTCGGGGCTGGGTTTTTATCTTCTGAGGTCTCCAAAGAGCCCCGCAGCTTAACGGCCGCCGTGGTGTGGTGGAACGGGAGGCATGCAACCCGAGGGTGTGGGGTTTAGGGTCTTAAGGGGAAGCTGAATAAGCAAGAGGTAAGCCTGGTCGTGATTGCGAGCGGCTACTAGGGAAAGCATACAGGCTTCGTTTCACTGTCTAGAGCTCATGTTTGGTACGAATCCAGCAGGACCCTCGGCCGGCATCCAAGGGACGCTGGGAAGTGGAGATTCGTCCGCACCTTAAAGAGGTACACGAGACATACCACCAGCTGCTGGAGAGACTCGAACTGCAAAGAAAGGTGAGGATGAGACCGTAGGAGGTTCTGCTGTAGCCATTTACTGGGAGTAATGCCCAAGGTGTCCTGTCCCAATTGACCTGAGCCGTGAACCCGTAAAGACGGATCCGACCATCAGCCGTTCATGCAGGCATGGATGGCGGTGCCCTGGAAGTCAAGTCCATCAAACGAGAGAACATTCAGACCTTGAACAAGGTCTGACCTTCCTGCTCTCAGCCTGAGACTGGCAGCGTCCGAGCTTAACTGCTATCTGCTTTTGGTGGGAGGTCGATCGAGAAGCGTGCAAGGCAGGAACTTTCCGATTGATCCGAAGCTGATCAGGATCATCTCGTGCAAGCTCGCGTGACGCGATGTCATGGAGTTATGGAGCCTCTGATGTTTTCAGATCGGCTCTTGGCTCTTGCAGGCTTGGGCCAAAGCCGAAAAGATGCACAAGGAAGCCAGGCTCCGCTGAAACGGCGTGATCGCGACAGCACACCGGCACTTGCAAGTGCAAAGTGCAACACCATTGTCGGGTCAGCGCACGTTGAGGGAGTCGAGGGAGTCTGATGCCATATGCCACAGGCATCCAAGGACGCTTTGAGGGTCTAGTCATACGGTATAGCTTACTATGAATCTTCCGACTTCTATGCGTACTGCCATGGTCATGATTATCGGTAAAAGGGTCCTTGCAATTCTTAATAGCGTTGTCCATGCAAGTACCTGGAAGGGACAGGCGAGAGCAGCAGGAGGCCGCGGGCGATCAGTTCAAAGTGACATGTTAGGCCGAGAACGTAGCATATTTGTCGAAAGTTCTCAGACTTACTTGCCACTCTCTGTTGAGATGGCAAGACCGTCCTGTGCTTTTGGCATGCTTCGCATACTTTCCGGTCATACACACATTTCAGGCCTTACCGCTCTCAGTTTTTGCCGCCCCATCCTTAGGAAGCATCGTGGTGTCTTTCAAGACGGTTGAATGTATACTCAGGCAGCTATATAGGCCCCAAGAAAGCCACTGCAAACCTGAAGGGGCGAACCGAAGACCATCCAGCGCAATGCAGTCCCAGTCCACTTTTCATTTCTATTGTACAATGCTGGGCCACCTTCAAGGGAATCGGTATTGTGCTGCTGTCGAAGTTGTGATTGCTAGCTGAGTCTACATATTGCTCGATGCAGACATCGAAGATTGAAGAGCCAGCCGAAATTGCTTGACGCCTTGACTGTTTGTTGCGTTTGCTGTAGAGACTATGGCGTGTCGTGAGTGCATAAGCTGATGGTGTAGTGAGGTGAAGTTTGTTTGCTTCTTCAGCCGCAACCCAAACCCCTACACACACAACACCCCCAAACACTTCCTAAACCCCTGAGCCTTTAACACCTAGAGAAGGTCACTGACGAAGCCCCAAACGCTTACCCGAAACCCCAGTCACCACATCCCCTGAACACCTAAACCTCGAAACCTTTCATCGTGGACCCCAGACACCGAAAACCCTAAACTTGAACCCGAAACCCTAAACCCTGAACCCTAAGCCCAAAAACAAAGGACCTTAAGCCGTCGGCCAGGAGATCCAAAAGTACAAGAACGTCGTCGAGGCTTTGTACTCGGCCCACTCTCAAAGGGCGGCTCGGGGTTTGAGGACACTTGGGTTCTATCGGGGTTTAGGGAGGTGTAGGCTGTTGTTTTTGGAGAGGTTTATGGGTTTTTGAGGTGTCCGGGTGAGGGTTCAGGGTTCGCGGTGGAGGCCTCCTTCTTGACGAGTTTTGGAGGTTTCTTACAACTGGCTGTGCCAAGGGCGGTCCTTACATAAAGCTGATTTTGACTTCCCCATGCCCTCAGAAGCTCCTACTTGGTCATGCATGGCGAATGCAAAGGAGGCTTACAGGGGGCCTTTTCAATGGCCAACCTCTGCTTAAGGCCCCTCATGAACCTCTTTAACACCCTAAGCCCTGAACCTCAAAACAGCTAGAAGCTCCGATCCCGATCGCCAGGCAAAGCTGTCGAAGCTTACGTTGACGGACAAAGCCAAGGACAGGTCCGGGATGTCTCGCGTGCAGGCAATGCTCCAGCGATTCGTCAGAGTCTGAAGGACTTGCTGCGGACGCTTGGGCCGGAGCAGGCGCTTAGTGCGCTGACCTTGGCAGAGGCGAAGAACAATCGGGGCAGTTTTCGTGGGCAGATGATGGGGCTGAGGTCTTGGATCGGTGTGAAGGTCCCAGCGCAGGGACCTGAGTCACGCCTGACATGAGCAAGTCGGCTTCTGGGAGGAAACTTGTGCTAAGGTTACGAACGTCAGCGGCTTTGTCATCACGCAGGCTCTCCCGCCTCTTTGATTGTCTCCCATGGGAGTGCTCTTTGAGATATTCTTCGGGATACTTGCGTGCGAGCGACTTCATGACGCCAGGCCAAACTGCTTCTCGGGCAGGACTCCGACTCCGAGGGCGACGGTGAGTCGCAAGCAAAGAAGGCCTCGAAGTGTCTGCTTGTGGTGCGCATTGAGATGATGGCCAGTCTACCTTGGAACGAATTTCAGAACCCTCGGTCCACACCGGCTGATTCTATTGTCGTAGCCTTGAATTCCGGCAACATATTCCTACTGGTAGTGAGTGCAGACTATTCTTCAGTTTCGTGCTGCTTATGTGATTCTCGCTATTGATGACGCATCTTGTTGGCCGCCTCCAGCAGGCGCGGTCGGAGTGAACACTCATGGCCTGCTTCCGGCTGGAAAACGCGCTGGGTTCGCGTTTGCAAATTTTCCTGGTCCTAAAGCCCGATGCAGGCAACCCAAGCGATAGAGGGTGTGTCTGAGTGTATCTTGGGTTTCAAGAGCTTGGAGGTTCAGCATCTCGGGTTTCGGAGTGAATGAGGCGCTTACTTTGCTGCAGGGATGGATCGAGCATCTGGTGGGCTAAACATAACATTAAGTGAGTCCCGTGGACTTCTTGCGGTATGCTCACAGAGGACCCTGAATTCAGCTCTCCTGTTTGCAGAGGCCCAGCACTGTATGTTGTGTTATGATGCAGCATCAGTATAGGGTTTGCAGGAGTATGCAAAGGCACTGCCGTTACATATAGTGCAGTTTATTGCAGCAGCATGACATTGTCGAATTTGGCAGACTGGCATGGATGTTTTTGAGAGCATTGTGTTCCTTCGTTGTAAACCCTTCATGTATGAGGTTACCACGAAAGCTAGCTCTGTCAAGCTTGCGGGAGTTGTCGTTTGACAAGTCACCCAAGTAGTAGTGACAGGCCAAAATCGCCTGATCGGGTCCATATGTATGTATGTATACATAGTGCTCTGTCTCACTTTTGGCCCAAATCAGCTTGCCCCCTGCAAATTGCAGCCGCCTCGGCACCAAAGGCACCTGCTGTTTCCCAATCTTGGAAGCTACTTAATAAAGAAGGTTTCGCGGTTTGAGGAGGGTTTAGAGGGGCTTAGGTTGTGCGGGTTAGTAGGGTTTCAGGTCTACGACGAGGTGAAGTGTTGTTTGACCCGAAAACCAAAACGGACTTATTGCAGACCGCGCTGTCAAAGAGCGAAAGCACCGCATGCGTGCACAGATAGAAAGTCGAAGCATCAAGCTACTTTGCAGTCTTGGTTCAGGCAACTGTGCAACTGTGCAAGCTTTGCCACCTTTGTTGGTGTGTTGAGACGGGATCTAGATGGATGATAATGCAGGTGTCCGCATGTCCGTTTCACCTCATGAGGAGCATGGCAAAAACATCCCTACAATCCCAATTTCGGACCCCTCACGAACATTGGAAGCTGGGGTGGTCTTTGGTTTGCGCGGTGGCCATTGTCCCCTCACCAAGCTCCGCTGACCGCCTGTGCCATGTCTTTCAAAATGAGCGAGTACTGATCACAACCGGCAAATGCTCCACAAGAGCTCACTGAGCGCAGGCCTTGCCGGCCACGACTTCCCCAGAGGCATAGGGCCAAGGAAAATCGTTGTGATTCTGCAGTGTCGGCTGGATGCAGCCGGCGAAAAATGGCTTCCGTCGCTGAGGCTGTGTCCTCCAGACATCCATCAGAAATGACATCTGCTACTCAGATCTCCCAGGCCCGTGTGCGATTCATGACCCTCCCCAACTTCCTTACGCAGCCTGTCGCGCAGGTCCTCTTCATGATCCAGCTCCCGCCCCACAGCTACCTCTGCCTGGCACTTCAGTCCCAGCAACTCCTTCTCTGGCAGTGGGGCGGACTGTTGCGATTCCGTGAGGCCTGAACCGAGATAGCGATAGTGATCCTGATAGTCTGGGGCCAAGTCGCATCGTGGGGTTTGGGGTGCTGCGCGGCTTCAGAGTGCACTCAGTTGACGATGATAGTGATCGTGATAGCCCTCACCTCAGTGGTCCTCGGGGGTCGTTTCGAAGTACGGGTTTGTTCGTCTTGGGGATTGTGCTCAGGCGATAGGGATTAGATCCCTTCGCTACCACGGTCGGGACCCCAGCCTTTACGGCAATTTGGGCGACCACAGGCCCTTGTCTCTGAGACTCACCCGGTCCAGTCGAGGCGACACCAACGTCAACCCGGCGTCTCGCTCCATCGGCCCGAAGAGGCGCCCCCGAAAGGGAGGAGGGCGACGTTCTTTCCTGTAGGACCAAAAGAACGCAAGCTCTCAAGATGGCGAGTTTTCCAGTGCCACGCCTTGCAGCCGTCTCCGGGTTTGCTGCCCTGGAAAGGCCATGGAGACGCCCAGAAGACACCTGGAAGGTGAAGGCACGTGAGTTCCGGGTGGTTTTCGACCTGCAAAGGTTGTGGAACAGCAACGGATTGAAAACCCTAGTGACACTAGACCCCGCAGCCCCGAAGCCCCTCCGAGGCACTTCAATCCCTAAACTCTAAACCCTAGAAACCCTTCTTCTATCCCTGAAGAACCCAAGCCCTTCAGACTCCTAGGCCCCCAAAGCCCCCAAACCTTCCCAGACTAACAAAGCCCGTGGAAGCCTAGACCTCCCATCGCACCCTTCTAGATCCCTTTCAGATCTGGTGCAGTGATTACTTGGAGGATTCACCGACATTGCTCGCGAGCGCGAGCCCGGCAAGCCGGGGCCCAGGCCGTGTTTGTGCCATGGTCTCAGGGCATAGTTTATCTTGATGATCTACATGTTTAGCACTTCTGGATCATGGTGTCTAGATCTTTTTGAATCGTGTAGAGAGGCTGCGGGCCAGGTAGGCTTCCGCGGGCGAGTGCGCAAACACATCGTGGACCAGAATTTTCCTGGTCTGGCCCGATCGCTCTTTCTCTCTTTGTGTCATCGGGCCTGTCTGAGCAGGCGGTTGCCGAGCAACTTGAATGAAGCCTTGGCAAGACTTCACAGCATCCTGGAGGCCCGGATAGAATAAAAATGATCGTGGGGGCTTCTCCCGTTGCATGCTGCACTTCTGCCATCTTCTGCCATTCATGCAATCATGGAAGCATCAAAGCGGTGGGTGGTGCCTAGCTTTGGGAGGTCCTGCCAAAAGGATGGCGCCGGACAGCCATAGAAGGCATTTCGAGCAGTGGGGTATCTTCAGATCTTCGCTTCTGTGGGCAGAGTCCGTGCTCCGGGCAATTCGGCCGTCTGAGCAGGTCTGTCCAAGCAGCTGCGTCACGAGCTGATTGAGTTCGTGGAGGCTTCGGCGCGCCGAAACACATGATTGTGGCGGTTGGTCGCCTAAATTCTGAGGTTCCGTCCATGCATGAAGAACGTATGCAACAGGTGGAGAGGAGTGAGTGGATCGCGGCATGGGTTTCACTCCTCGCAGCCGGCTCAAGTTGTTTCGGCTTCTCTGTAGGCGCAGGAAAGACTTAAAGAGCAATGCTCAAGCAGGACCAGGCTCCCCTGGGGGAGCAGGAGTTGGATGACATCATTGCGTACATGTTGGAGTCCAAGGGCCACGGGCCATCGAAGGTGAAGTTGCCCACAGAATCCGAGGTGAGGTCAATCTGCAACGTCGCGAAGGAGATCTTCCTGCGTCAGAATTGCTTACTTGAGCTTGAGGCCCCGCTGTCGATTGTGGGCGACATCCATGGTCAGTACAACGACCTGCTTCGACTCTTCGAGTACACGGGCTTCCCACCCAACACCAACTACCTCTTCCTGGGAGACTACGTCGATCGCGGAAAGCAGTCCTTGGAGGTGATCATTTTGCTTCTGGTGTACAAGATCAAGCATCCCGAAAACTTCTTCATGCTCAGGGGAAATCACGAATGTGCCTCCATCACTCGCATCTATGGCTTCTACGACGATTGCAAGAGGCGGTACAACATCAAGATGTGGAAGCTGTTTTGTGAGGTATTCAACACACTCCCCTTCGCGGCTCTGATTGATGAAAAGATCTTCTGTGTCCACGGGGGGCTTTCTCCGGAACTCACTGACCTCCGGCAGATCAACAGGATCGCCCGACCGACAGACGTTCCGGACACCGGATTAGTGTGTGACTTCTTGTGGGCAGATCCCAACGCAGATCTCAAAGGCTGGGCCGAAAATGACCGCGGCGTCTCCTTCACCTTCGGTCCTGATGTCGTCGCTGGATTCCTCCGCCAGCATGATCTCGACTTGGTGGTTCGAGCACATCAGGTGGTGGAGGATGGCTATGAGTTCTTCGCGAAGCGACAGTTGATCACGATTTTCTCTGCTCCCAACTATTGCGGTGAGTTTGACAACGCGGGTGCGGTGATGACGGTCGACGAGACCTTGATGTGCTCCTTCAAGGTCTTGAAGCCAGTGAAGAAAAAATAATCTGCTTAGGCGCTCTCTATCTAGAGGAAGAGGCCTTGTAATTCGTACATGATTGACGCAAGCCAAGGACTCGTTAAGATATCGAGTTCAGGTTGGTTGTATTTAGATGCATGCACCTGAGCATGCCTGGAGAGGTGAGTATTCTTCTGTACAGGCTACAAGTATAAACACTCTAGATAGAACGATTGCACGGCAATGTTCCACCGTGCATGACTCGCCACGCAACGGCCGTGCTGCAACATGTCGAGTTTCAGCCCTTTCCAGCGAAGGCAAGCAGAGGTATGTATATTCTTGTTTGAGCATGGAGCAGCGATCGTCTGCTGTGCAGGGCACGAAGAAGCATCAGCTTCGTCACGTCCGCCAGCATCCCGGTTGTTGCACAAGGTTTGGGGACGACTCAGCATAAGGGGCAAGGGATGACCAGGATCAGATGTCAGGCTGAAAAGTTTGAAAGACAGGTGACGGTTAAGGAAACAGGTAGAAAGGAGATGAGGGTCAAAAGCCCAAGGGCAACGCACGGAGAAGGGTACGGGTTAAGCTGGCTCGAACAGAGGCCCGGCAGCCAAGGCCAGATCCGTGCGGACCTCGAAAGAAGTGGGGGTGAACGCGCTCTGAAGAAGCGGAGTGGGTGGCCTGTCCAGGTAAAGCCATCGGTCAAGCCAGGCTTGGGCTGCACTGGGCTGGGCTCACTGGGTTTTCTGGCTGTGCCGGTTGCTGTGGAGGTTCGGTCTGGACATCCAGAAGGGCCTCTGCTCAGAATCACCGGGTTGCTCGGACTTGGGAACCTCTTCCAGCGGCACAGAGCAGGGATGCCTTGAGCACGGTATCTGCAGGCTCGTTGTCAGATTGGCGGAGTTCTCGTTCGTTCCAGCAGCGTTCGCTGCCGCGAACAGGCCTTGTGCATCCTTGTGCCACGATACAAACGTTGTGCAAGTAATTTAGGGATGCCTCAGAGAGAGAGAGGGCTGGGCTCGGCAGGCGGAGGTCTTGCTGCAACGATTACGTGCGGCGATGTCGGAGGTACCTGAGGCGTTGGAGCACAGGCGCAGACGAAGATCTTCCTCGTGCAAGTCTGTTTGTTTGCAGGTGGATTCAGTCGCATGAAACTCAGACCTTTGGACATGCGCTGATTTGCTGGCTCTTCGGCGTTCAGGGCTTAGGCAGCAGCAAGCCAAACGGCAAGAGCTTTCACAGGCTGTCGTGCAATCGCCGTGGCAAACCGAAACGGTGCACGGGGGGTGATAGAGCCGGAACATACTGACAGCAACAGCATCAGTAGTGACTGTTGCGGCAACGGACAGCGGTAGTCCTTGGCTATTAACTACAGGTTTGGCAAATAGAAATTCCACATGGGCGGTTTTAATCCCGGGCACAAAGCCCTGAATATAGCCATACTAAACCATTCAAAACTCAGGCTGCAGGGCCAAACTCAAACATTGGGCTTGGGTGCTCCACGGATCTGATGCAGGCTGCCCGCAGCAGCAGCTGCGCTTTCCAAAAGCTGCACGGTGAGCTTCGTGGCCGCTTGCCAGAATGCTAATGTCGGGGCTGATAGCTTAGGTGCAGCATGCATGGGTGAGCGAGTCCAACAAGATGACCAAGAAAGATAACATGGATGTCACAAATAAGTTCCTCCCCTTAGTAGCGAGCCCGGCGAGCCCTATACGAAGGATATCACAGCACTGTGGGTTGGTGCCTGGTTTCCGGACCCTGGAAAGGTGACTTTGGATGCGCGTCGCTGGATCGGCCGCAGCCTGGAGTCGCCCACGCTCCACAGCTTGGCAGAGACCCTGAGCTGGAGGAGCGGCCCCCCGGGCTCGCGGGTTCGAACCCCGCAAGCCCTAGACATGCCGAAAGCTAAGAGCCAGAAGCCTGAACCCTAGAGCAACTTCTTCACCCTAGAAGCTGAAAGCAATGCTTCCAGACGTCCGCAGAGGGCTCAGCTCAAGTCAGGTTTCAGAGCCCTACCCGCCCTACCCCTAGATCCCAAACCCGAAGCAAGCCCCAAGCCCTTCACCACCAAAGCCTTACAATGAGCCTTGCAACGCCAAAGCCCCAAATCCAGGTCTCTGGGTCACAACCTCTAGGGCCGAAAGCCCGCAACCCCAAAATAGCAACCCTAGATGCCCGAATGGCAGAATCCTAACAGGGACTCGTCGGTATCCTTTCAGGGATCCTAACAGGGACCTCTGGGTATCCTCTCAGGGATCCTAATAAGGGACTTCATAGTACCCTGTGGTACCCTTTAAGGGGGACCCTATTATAGCACCCTGTAGTACCGTTTGATTGGGACCCTATTATAGCACCCTGTAGTACCGTTTGATTGGGACCCTATTATAGCATCCTGTAGTACCGTTTGATTGGGACCCTATTAGAGCACCCTGTAGTACTGTACCTGATAGCACCCTTTGAGGGTCCTTTCTTCCGGCCAGGCGCCGAGCAGCAGAGGCCGAGGCTGGCGGCTGGCCGCGGGTGAAAGCGCTCTGGATGGACCCGCCGGGTTTTCCATCTGACGCAAAGGGTGCTCATTTATCTAAGCGTCTTCCGCGGCGCGGCGCGCTCCTCAGCGCCTTCCTCACCCTTCGCGCTTGCGCCGTGCCCTGAGTCGTGGTTTTTCATCTTGCAGCGAGGATGTTGACGGGAGCCAAATAAATTCGACACCATAAGCCCGAACTGTGGCCGAGCGAGCTTCGCTGAGTCTTGCAACGATAGGTCGGGTCGCCCCTGCAAATCAGGGCCTTCCATGTAGGAATGGCTCGGCCGCCTCTGGAAGCGAGTTCTCACGTGAAGCTGGTCTGCGTGTCTGTGAGTGTTTGTTGGCGCCCTCAGCGTCCTCAGCGCCCTCCGTCAGCGCCTTCTGCGCCCTCCGGCTTTCACCTGCCGCCCTATAGTTTATGCGAACTCCGAAATTTCAGCGTCTATTTGACGTTGGCCTGCTCCTGCGTCTGTATGCGGTTGAAGAGACGCGCTGGTCAAATAGCCCACATGTCCATCACACGTCGGGGGTGGAGGGTGGATGGGGTGGAAAGGGGGGGGGTCTCGGGGTGCGGAAGTTTATGGTCTGTAGTTCAACGTGCTAGGGCGGCTTTTGTTCAAGAGGTTTTGTTCTACGGATTCGGGGCTTGTAGGGTTTCAGTGTTCGGGTCCGCGTGGCTTGGGTTTTGATTTTGTTAGAGTTTGAGTTTGAGGGTTTCGGGGTTGGGAGAGATGGGAGTCAAGGGGTTCGGGGCAGTTGTGTTTAAGGTTTAGGGTCAAGCTGATGGTATTGAGAGTTTCTATCTGCAAACGGTCCATAACGAAAACAGTCTATTGGGCTCGCACATGAGAGCGACATCGAGCCGGCGATCTGTTCAGCCACTCTCTGCAATCTCTCTGCTTTGCGGATCCTAGCTTGGCGTGAGGAGTGGATGCAAACGACGTCAGCGCAGCCGCGTGCATTTCAGCGCTCTCGCCGAAGTGCCCTTCGGCAGCATGGCTGGGCCCTGACTCGCGCTTCATCAGGTCTTAGATGTCTGTCCTTGCAGGCGCGTGAAGTCCATCGACTTGTGGCTGCTGGAGATGTATGTTTTTCCGGGAAAGCGGCAAAGAAGCGTGCCCGCCAGGCGGGAAGGGAACGCGGTTCTGCCAGCAAGCAATGATACTTTTCACTGCAGCCCTGAAGTTTCACTTCCTGCAGCCCTCCGGCCAGGAGGCCAGCGATCGACGCTTGGCACGCCGGCTGCGGGCCGCGGTGACGATCGCCGAGGCCTTGCTGGGCCGGGCCATGGTGCCAAAACGGCAGGGACCTCGGAATAGAGCTGAAGCCTCAAGTGCACCGCCGCATCGTCGCTGGCGTCCAGATGATGCTGGGTTTGCGCACGCTTGCCCGCAAGCAACAGCAGGTCATCCAAGACCTCGACCCGAATATGCGAGGCAAGCACGGGGGTTGGGTGGCAAGATCCCGTGGTGACTGAGGGCTTGAGACTGGATTGCAGCTTACGTTAGCAATCTTTGTGCCTTGTGTGCGTACGCCACTACAGTGGGCAGCAGGTCAGCAAAGGCAGAAAAAGAGCTGTTGTAGCCGGATTCTCGGTGTCAGATCTGGATTGCACACGGCTGATAGCTGGTAGCATGGATGCTCTGCACCTCCTCTTGCACTGAGGCCAGCCACTTGACTGAGATGAGACAGTGCAACTCGCACAGTCTCAAGTGTAGATGTCTGCAACTGCCCCAGAGAGTTCTTACAGAGCCGGACTTTTTTGGCTTGAGCCGCGACAACCAGGGGCAAGTTGCAGGCGCCTGAGTGAGGACAGGCCAATGGCTACCACAAAGCCATCGGGCCCAGAGCCGTGGCTCAACGAGAAAGGAAAAGGGGGTGCTTTGCCAGCACTGTGCTCCTCCGAGACGGTCTATCATTGTCATAAGGGTTTAGGGGCGGTTTGATCTTCAGGCCATCGACCGAGCCAAGCTGTCGACATTGATTGGGAGAGCAGTCTTGTAGGAGGCTGACAGCTTGCGTGGCTCCGTGCCTCCACGAGCCGCATCAGAAACCTAGGCTCAAAGATAGCCGGTAGGGTATCTGACCATCGATTGTGCAGGAGTCTTTCCCAACACGTGTCACGAACATCGGTTAGAGTTTTGTGACATCCTGCTTGCAGCTTCCACCAATGAAGGGCCACCGGCTCCTCGCGATCGCAGCACCAGCTGCAGGGATGGTGGTCGGCGGCAAACGTGAGCAGCGACAGACTCCTGGTTTCTCTCATGTCCATTGCTGGGGCTGGAACACCGGCGTTGGTGAAAGCATGTCCCCGACAGCCTTATGGCAAGACTTTGGCGTCAAGCGCGCTCACTACTCGCGAGCCACGCAGAAGCTGGTGCTGACGGGGAGCCCCTCAGCCCTTCGTCCTGGAACGGCGGATGACTTGCAGCGGGTCCGAAACATGAAAGGCGAAGTCATCACGGAGGCGGAGAACCCCGGGTTGCGGGTGGAACCCAACTTCCTGGATGAGTCCGAAGAAGAAGCTTTGGCTCGAGAACTTCGAGCTGTCGTGGAAGAGCACGGGTTTTGCTTTGAGGAGGAGAAGATCTCGGTGCAGATAGTGGATGCTGCCGGGCAGCTGCAAGAAGACTATGGGAAGAATCGGTTTAGAAGGGTCACTGGCCGGCCGGAATCGCGTGGTGCTCAGAAGGGAATCGTGGCGCCCTGGGGCTACGGGGCAGATCTGGATGCCAAGAAGCTGCCTCCAATGATCGGCAAGCTTGTGAAGCGCCTTCAAGAAGAGAGGGGCTACAAGCTCGGGCCCTTGCGAGACTGCACAATCAACCATCGCACAGACTCCTTCTTCATGATCCATCCTCATGTAGATCCCGTGGCCGACGGCCCCCATGTCTTCTTGCTTGGCATTCTTAGTGGCGCCGTGCTGACCTTTACGCCATCGGATGCCCAGCCACGGACCGGTTTGGAAACGGAATCGAAGTCATGGACAGACAGGGACTTGGACCTGCTAATTCGGCGCCGCAGCCTGGTGGTCTTTTCGGGGGCAGCGCGCTATGATTGGAAGCACGGGATTCGCGCTGGCTTTCAGCTTCAATCGCCAGAGCTCGAGGGCACGACGATCTGCGACTTCTGGGGTTCCATGAAGTACATCTTGCCACGACGCCCGGAGCGATTCTCTGTGGTGCTCGCTTTTGCGGATGCCCCGTAAAAGCCACAAAACTGGGTGAAATATTTCTGTTGTATTTGGACGACCCCAATACATACAAGAAATGAAGAACAACCGTCAACAACTTCTCAGATTCTCCGATGCGGGCGCAAGAGGGCCTAGTTTCGAGCTTGCCAATACTGATGGCATGTGATGGCCGTAAAACCCCTAGACCGTAAACTCTAATCCTCAACCCTGTGCCTAAACCCGAAGATCTTGCCCCTATGCCTATGCCTCTCCCTATATTTCGGGGATTTTGGGCTTTAGGGTTTAGGGTATAATCCAGGAGCTCAAACAAATCGCGGAGCTCGAACTAGCTGTGTTTACGAAAGGCTGCGGACGGGGAATACTAACCTACATACGAAAAATCATATCGAAAAATTATAAATTTAGGCGAAAATTAAAAAGAACTCGAAAGATAAATCTGAAAAATCAAAAAATCTAAAGAATCTAAATTATATAAGAAGATTTGGAAAAATATAATAAATCGAAAAAATCCGAATAATATATTCGGTATAAGAAAATTAGAAAAATTAACATTATTCGAAAAAATAAGGAATTCGAATTATTCGAAATATAGAAAATATTAATCGATTTCGAAAAGAAAAATCGAAATATTTCTCTATAAATTTATATTTAATATATATATATATATATGTATTTTTTTTCCATAATTTAATAAAAATAAAAATTAAGATTAATAATTATTAAATTATTAGATGATTCTGGCTTTTCTAATATCTTAATTGGAACAATTTAAGACTTGATTCTAAATTTTTCTATTTAAATGATTTTTATAGAATTAGAATAAGAATTTTGTTCGGGATCCCGCGTGGTTGGGAGTTTAAGGGTCTTGGAATTCTAATTCGGTTGGGATCTCGTGGGGTCGGGGGTCTGAATTTCTTGGAGTTCTATTTCGCTTTTATTTAAAAATTTTTATTTAAAATTTAAATAATGGAAGGGCTCTTTTCCTTATATATATTTTCATTTAGGAGTTAGGCAATAGGAGGGATCTTTCCCTTATATATATTTTTATTTAAAATTCAGATAATAAGAAAGATCTTTTATTTATATTTTCTTTTATTCAAAATTTAATTAATAAGAGGGATCTTTTACTTATATATATTCTTATATATGATCTTGCAGGGATTTTCTATATTCTATATTTTTTTTAATCCTATCTTACCTTCTCTCATATCAATCATCTTATAGGATTATTCTATATTCCATATTTTCGTTCTACCTTATCTTTCTGTCTCTCATATCTACGATCTTATAGGATTATTCTATATTCCATATTTTCCTTCAAACTTATCTTACTTTCTCTCATATATACGATCTTACAGGATTTTCCATATTCCATAATATCCTTATATCTTTCAAATTTATATTGCCTTCTCTCCTATATATGATCTTAAAGGATTTATCTATATTCTATAATTTCTTTCAAATCTATCTTGCCTTCTTTCATATATATGATTTTATAAGATTTTTCTATATTCCATAATTTCTTTCAAATCTATTTTACCTTTTCTTATATATTCATTCATATATATTCTCATATATGATCTTGCAGGATTTTTCCATATATCATAATATCTTTCAATTTGATCTTGTCTTCTCTTATATGTATGATCTTCTAGGATTTTTCTATATTCTATAATATGTTTCAAATTTAATTTTGCCTCCTCTCCTATATTTTATTTTGAATATTTTTCATATATTTTATAAAATCCTTCAAACCTATTTTAATATTATATTTTTTTTCATATTCCGCAATTCCCTTCAAATCTATTTTAATCTTATAGAACTTTTCTATATTACATAATTTCCTTGGAATCTATCTTGCCTGCTCTCATATATAAATTTCCATAAGATTTTTCAATATTCCAAAATTTTCGAAATATATAAAAAACTAAATCGATGAATTTCTAAGAATAATTCAGGAAATCATAAGAATAAGATAGGATTTAAATAAAATAGAATCTAAAAATTAAATGAAAATAAGATTTAATCGATATATTCACGAAATTTATTAGCTAATAATTCTCTATTATAAATATTCAAACTATTTTCTAATACCATAAATAAAACTAAATATCTCTATTAATGAAATTTAAATATAGATTATTAAGCAAAAATATCTCAAAATAATAGAGATTTAGAAATAAATTTTTATATCAGAATATCGAAGATTTCTATAAAATAAAATTTGAGAGACTATCTATATTAAGATATTTAAATGAATCATTAATGAAGATTTTCAAATGAAAAATTCATAAGAATTAATTCAATATGAAATAAAAATCAAAAAAATAAAGAAATCTCGATTCATCAAAAAAATCGAGATTTCAAATTAAATCAGAATCGAACAAAGATCTCGGAAAATGAAATATTTTGAAAAATGGTTATCTATTTAAGAGTTCCAAGAAATTATAATATCTAGAAATAAAAAATGAATGAGACATATTTGATCAAATATCTTTTTCATGGTCGAAATATTAGAAATGTATATCTATATAAAATATCAATATCATCTTCTAATAATAAATATCTATTAGTATTTAAATGATAAATCTAAATGAAAATCAAAGAATGATTTATCTTATATATACAGGTCTCATATCAAGTATGTAATTAATTATATATAATATCATCTCTGATAATAAAAGTTCAATATTATCAAAAGTCACATCTCCTTCATTTCTACAAATCCAACATCTATGGCTTTTCGTAAAAACCGATAGCGTTTAATCTGTTTACCGAAATGATGCCAGGACATTGCGGAGCCACACAACTATCGAAATACCGTACAGTTCTTTTCGTGCTATGCAGGACTAAAGATAGGAGAAGTGTGTCCTTGTCGTTATCTTGATTCAATTGTAGCAATGAAACTATTTTAAGTCTTTGGCTTCAACTCATACGTCAGCTTCAACTTATTGAACCTTTTGTGGTATCAATTATCTTGTGATATGAGCACAATTGCAGCACTAATTTTAGTAGGCATCTCGTCAGTCCATATTTCGCAATGGATAGGTTGGGCTCCGCTGCTTGTCCTTGCCACGCCCCTGAGCAGCCTCTGGAAAACTCCACCTGGGCGAGGTGCAGTGGCGACCGAGGTTCGGGATTGGGTGATCCAGGTACTGGGTGCCCCACGCTCAGCATGTTGGCTCCGGTCGTGCTCGACGAACACAGGCAGGGGAGCCCCGGCCTTTCAACAACTTTGCAGAGAGGCAGGCCAGTTTCCTGCGCTACATCGAGACCATGTGCGGTGATCGATGTAGCAGAACATGCATGTGAAGTTCCAAGGCATACATGCGGAGTCCCTATAACAGATGGGGTCTGTCAAGGCGTGTGCACATGAAAGGACAATGCGCATAGATGACGACACTGTGAGTGTTCAGGGAGTACCACGATGAAGGTCCCATCGAGCACGGGCCTCCGCTGTGCCGAAGCCGGCGGTGTAACCTGCGCAGTCGGGGTGTTGTGCGTCAGGGTACCTTGCCCGAATGCTAAACTTCGTGGCATCTAGCTTGCTGGGATTATAGACTGCAGTGAATTGACATGCTGGAAACATAGCAGCAAGAACTCCTACGAAGACATGCAGCGGTCTAGGAAAGTTAAGCATACAGCGACATAGCTGCGTTTCCAAGTGATACTGTTAGTCCATGCCAAGCACAAATCATTTCGCTCGAAGCGGCGTGGAGGCAAACGGTGCCGGCTCAGTGTCTGCGAAGCCTGCACTGGGAGGCTGCTGCCGTGTGCACAAGTTTCAGCAAGACGGCTCCCACCCGTGCTTAAAGTCTTTGAGGCAGTGAGGCAGGCTTGACAACCCTATCGGTACAGAGCTCATGACCATGGCCTTGATCCCAATGCATGTGGGCTCATATGACTCCCGCCGTGACCCACAGACCCAGCCTGAAATCCAGAAGCCTCGTTCACAAGCCCAAAGTCATCTTTCATTTTGGCGAAATCTGTCGAAAATCCTCGCTTGAAGCAGAAGTTCAGACTGTGGCTCCCAGCCCAGGCAGCGATCGCGGCAGCCACAGGCTCCTGTGCTCAACAAAGATCGCCCCAAACTCCCCGGCACTTCGCTTAAACAGGAAAACATATAGACAAAGGGCCCCTCTCCAGGGGCCCAAAGCTCTCAGCAAGAGCCCATAAAGCGCTTCTGAAAGACTTCCCCATGTTTGCTTGGCCGGCCTTGCCACTTAAACAGGCTCAAGAAACGCTATCGGGAGAGCGACTATACAGGTCCTGTCTTCTTTGCGGCAGCTCTCTAGATACCGATGCTCTTCCAGACCCCGACACTAGAGATCCCTAGCCGTCCGTCGCTGAAGCGGCGAGGCTCTCAGATGCCAGCAGCGCCTGGTAGGGCTCAGAGCGTTCCGCGCATCTCGAAGAAGCCCCGCCTGGGGCCTCGAAAGGCCCTGACTATGGGCAGCAAGCTTCAGCAGCTTCTTTAAGAACTCCCTACCGATTTCGTGAGCCTCACGCGACCGGAAGCGTGCGGTCGGTAACCAGCAAGGCGATGGGGCCAAGCACAATGCCTGATCTCAGTGTCGCCGGTGTCAACTGTAACATTCGCAAGTCAAGGGCTAATTTGGGCGAAGAAGGAAAGAGGTTGGAGTCAAAGACGAAAGACATTTTCTGTATGCGACCTGCGCAGCAAACGTAACAAGAAGCGGTTTGCAGCAGCACAACTTCGCAAGAGGGGTGGGTACATGAAGGCCATACAGACATGCATAGTGGCATACCCACCATTGTCCTGGATGCTACTCGAGTGTTGGAATTAACCACTGCGCCAGATGTCTGTAGTCCCCCACCCGCCCCCGGGTTTTTGCTGCGTCGGCCTCCAATGCCTCTTCAGTGAAGTGGCGCCCAAGACCTCAGAACTACGAGAGCTTCGCTCCCCGGCTGGGGCGGATTACCGCGGCTCTTTGGAGCCTATAGCCTGAGCCGAGCGGCTAAAGCTCCGCTCCAAGGCCGGAAGGTGTAGACGCGTGGAGCCGTCCCAAGCCAGACCTATAAAAGGGTAAAAAAAGGCGGAGATCTGTTTGAAAAAAGCTGATTTTTGGGATTTGAGCCTTCGCTGGCCTCCGGGAGTGATCTCTTTTGGAGGCTTACCGGGGTTGCAACGGAGAAAGCAGAAACTCCGCATACATTTTCTGCTCCTCCAAGTCTTTGCAGTGCCGCGCTTACAAGTAATAAGTAATGCAGGAGCTTCGTGATGTCGAGGGAAGTTCGGGGCTGGGACCACTCCAGCTGCTGCTGGAGAGCTGCTGCAGGGCCGGGAGCCTGGACATCCGTTTGGGCTTGGGCTGACGCTTCCATTGCATGTCTCGAGCGGCATGTGCAGACGTCCACTTCACTCATGCACCTGTGGCATGTTTTCACGAGCGCTATCGACAGGTTGGAGGTTCTGGTGAAGGACTGCCGACTTCGGATCAAAGCTGGCTCTTGGACTCTCGCAGCCGTCCAGCATATGCTCCGGCGAAGTTTGCCAGAGCATCTTCGGACAGCATGCCGCTGGCCTGAATGACGTGGCTCTCGAATATTTCTAAGATTCAAGAGCCCTCCGCAACGTAGCATCGGTGCAAAGGCGGTTGTCAACCCGGAATCCGTGGTTTAGGCTTTATACAGAAAAAGCATGGCATAGTCTTGAAACCCAGCCATTCACGGGAACCTCGAACGAGTCCAAGCCTTTTCGATGATCGTTCTTTTGGATCTCAGGCTGAAGAGGTCCAACTTGCTGAGCGCAAGCCGAAACCAACGAACTTATGCCTTCGACTTGAGGTTGCAAGGCCCAAAGGACAGATCATGAGCTCCTGACCTTCAACACAGGAATCCCCAACTGAAACTGGAAGCTTGAAGCCCCTCGCCACCAGAACTGCAAATGCCAGCCCATTATTATGCTATAGTATATAGTACTCTGCTATACTATCACACACACACACATATATATATATATATATATATATTATACATGAGACATTGCATCATATACATTAAATCATAGGTACTGTACAAGATATACAACTCGCTATGTATTATATTGTTGGCTTTATAGCATACACTTCCTATTTGCACTGAGGGTCAAGGTTACATATTACTCATCTATGTTATGCACCCAAGTACGAAGACCGTCTACTACATCCCAGATATGCCAGTACAGTATACTACAGTATACTACAGTATACTACAACACAAAACAGCCCCTAAACCCTAAACCCTAAACCCTTCTCGTATTACGTATCCCTTTTTAGAGGGAAAGAAAGGGCGCCCCCCCAAAAGGAGGCCTCCAGGAGCTCCAAGGCTTCGACCTGCAGAGAGGGACCCCTTCCCTTTAGGCAACTCGGCTCCGGCTTTTCGTCCCGGACACCTAGAAGAAAGACAGTATAGTTATAGTTATAGTATAGGTATAGTATAGTTATAGCTATGGTTGTAGTCATAGTATAGTACAGTGTATAGTCTAGCATAGTCTAGCACAGTCTACAACATAGTACAAAGTCCCTGAGAACGCGAGGGTGGCTGCGGGGGCTCCGGCCCTTGAGGGCTCTTTATGTTGCCCACTTGTGCATTCTGCTTGAACTAACCCGGTCCTTCAGACGCAGACGCAGTATCACGAGGCCAAAGCCACGCACAACATCCAACCTCACAATCGTGAAGCCCCACCTCTCCGTGCACTTTGCACCCACTCTCAAAACTACTCCCCCAAATCCCCGTCCCAGGTTTCTCGCATCAGCGCACATGCGGAGCACCTGCCTGGCGTCTCTCAGAGCTCTCGGACAGCAGTCCCCGCAGCAGCGGTGGCAGTGGGGCGAATTGGCCGCTCATCTGGATTCGGGGGCTTGCCGACGGATTGGGTCTTCCGGGGTCAGTGCTAATTGCGTGCCATGCTCACTTTCAGCTTGAAATGCAAAACTTGCTCGGACCTGGTTGCGATCGGAAAACTGACTTGCAGATTGATGGGCTTTCCAGTGTCGGTGCTGCACGAAGTCAGAGATGTACTTTCCTGAAACTCGGAGAGATTTTATTGAAGATTTGCAGACAGAGGGTGAATCGGGAAAGTTGAGAGTGGGGAGAGAAAGCATTGGCATCGATCTCCGGGCAAAACAGCCAGACAGAGCCGTACTTCTCTGAACTGCCACTGAGTGAAGCCCTGTCTTCGCTGTGCCAGAGGTGTGCGGCCTCAACCATGGGCCACAGCGCTGCAGCCGTCACGGCGTCGCCACCCAGCCGCTGCTCCTGCATGGCCTGCATGGTAGAGTTTGTCCCAGCTTTGTGTTGTTTTCGAACTCCCGGTGCTATGGATGCTCCTATGCGAGGCTAAGCGAAGGTGAAAAGGAGCCGGGGCTAATTCCCGCGTCTAGCTTTCCGCATCACTGGCCTGCAAACACAGGCCAGCTGCCCGCCATTCTGGGCGGCAGGCGCCGAGCGCTGCCTTTCTTGAAGCGGGTCGTGGAATGCCGTACTGAAGCAGAGCAAGCAGGTCAGGTTGAAGCAGCAACGACGAAAGATTCACGGCCAACTCTCCCAACTCTGCGAGAAACAAAGTCTTACAGAGCGGCATACGTCCCGTATCTAAATCAATGCTGGCAAGTAAGGAAACTGCAGGCAGCCCAGAAACATGCAGACAAGATTCGTTGAAACTGATCTCATCGCAGGCCATCCTCTTCCCGAGCATCTCCTGGCATGAAAACCCGAGGCCGTCTGGACGGAAGTTGCTTGGCTGTACAGCTTCAGAGAGCGCATCAGCAGCGGAAGCGGAGGCGAACTCCTCGCCAAGAAGCTCGGTGGCCCATGGCCAAGCATCTGCTTTCCTGGCCGAGAAAGAGGACCATGCTACTTTGTCGGCTTCGGGTGGCAAGAGCAAGCTGGAGCAGAAGGTATTTTCAACACCCCGGTGAACTCAGTGCAAAGAAGCTTCTGGGATGGATGCGAACTTCGACTTCAAATGCTTTCAGTATCGCTGATGTATCTGTGACACAACAAGGAAATAAGTGTCGACCCTTCCTGCGTGCGTGGTAGTGTACAGAGCATGCTGAACGGCCTCACATGCTACTCAGACCAAGCTGATCATGATGCGAACTCACACACGGCAAAACATGCCGCGATTGCTCGCAGGCACTCATTGCCTCAGGACGTGCTGGAGGGCCATCTGCCATGGGTGTAAGCCCCCCTATGTGCCTGTGCGCTTGTCTACGGTCGCGTGTGCGTGCAAGAAGATGTGCCTCTGCAGGGGAAAAGCTGAACAAGGTTGCCTGTAGAAGTTAGATGGGATTCTCAAGCCACCAACGATACGAGTACTTTGGGTGAAGGGAACATCTGCAAGGCACGTCCGAATTGTTCAATTGTGCTGGATGTCTCCAAAACCATCCGAAACTTTCCCAAACCCTCAACCCACACATGCGGCTTCGTCCTAGTCCGAGTTCGTGCCGCCGTCGTTCAACATCCCTTCTGGTTTTTCAGTGAGGTATCGCCCAGCGGTGGTGATGGCTCCAGAGTCCGAGAGTGAACAATCACCAACGCAAACCAGTAGAAGCGCTACCCAAGCAGGCGCCAAAACCTAAGAAAAGGAAAGCCACTTCAGCCCGCGGCAGAGTTGCAAGTAACGAGGTTTGCCTCCACGCCTGGATACGTGTGCAGGAGTGGGGTGAGACAAAAATGTCCACAAAGATGGGCACAGCGTTGGGGGGCTTAGAAGAGCTGAAGGAAAGTCTTGGGCGAAGGTAAACAAAAGCAGGTAAGCCCTCTCAAGCAAAAGCCACATGCTCGAACCAAACTCTTAGGCATGAAAGGCAAACTCCACCAACTCTCGAGGATGGTGCCTTGCACGGATAGGCCACGCAGCAGCAATTCGATGCCGCTTCCTCAGCAGTGCTGGGAGCAATCGATCTCCCTCTCTGCATAAACACGCAGGACTCAAAGCCAACGTGTCCGTGTCTGCATGTTCGTGTTCGGCTCCGACTGCACGGTCAACGGGCCAAAGCTCGACATCTTTTTCCTCGCATTTTCTACAGCTGCCCCTGCTATGTTCAAGTGCGGTAGCTGCCCACTGTCAGACATGCTTCGAGGCTTTGTGGATCGGCAACTCCGGCGTGGACGTCTCCTGTGAACTGGGAGACCGGGCGCCAGCGGCTTTGCTTTTCCATCGCCTGGAAAAAGGGGATGGGATGGGAGGTGCATTTCCCAAACACCTCTTAGACCCCAAGTCTAAGTTATCACACTGTCTTGTTGAACCAGCAGCTACCAGCAGGCGCAGGGCTGCAGCGGCAAGACGGAAGCATGTATGACGATGCATAGTACAATGCGCGTTCCGGCGTCGGGATCATCGCCGCCATCGAAGCACAAGCACGGCCCCAATGTCGGACACAGTAATTACCCGACTTCGCGCGGTCATTGACGACCTGACGATCACCAACCTGCTGATCCGATCTGTGCTGAGGATTGCTGAGGTGCCCGAAGGTGCCCCCTCTGCTCGGCTCCTTGCGCTGATGGTTGCGCCGAAGATCATCGCGCTCGGCCTCACCCCTGCAGTCTTGGGAATCAAACGTAGCAAGTTCCACTGAGCACCGAGGATTTCTACTGAGGGAGGCCAAGGCCTTCCCATCGGGAGGTGCACAGGAGCGCCAGAGTTCGCGCCCACTGCAAACCTTCGGCTAATGCTGAGGAGCGGTCGGCTCTCATGCAGAGGTTCTGCCAGGTTTTTATCGACTCGCAAATTGAAGGTGTAAGGATCGATGGGCCAAGTACCAATCGCTTTGGCTCTCGCTCTGCCTCTGAACTCAGAGTTCTGCTGCGTCTATCTGACTCACGCCCATATTCTGGCTCTACCGAAGAGTCTAGGGCCTAGGGCCTTAGCTTGAGATGCCCTTGCAAGGGTGTAGACAGTGCAGGGAGACACGAGAGCCCAAAGCAAGGAAGCCTCGGTCGGCCGCACTGGCCGCAGCCGCGAAGGTTCTCACCTGGAAAGCAGAGCCGCGCCGATGGGATCCGAGGAACATGGGTCGGGTGATTCAGTTTGACACAGTTGACATCTTGAGCACGGGCCCGGTATGGAGCTAGAAGCCGATTGAAATGTCTATGCATCCAAGCAGTCAAATCGAAGTAGGGGCCAGGCGCCAGGAGTCAGGCTTTGCTGATTCAGCAAGCCTGAGATGGGGAAGGGGAGGCCTTTGGCCGAGGCAGCTCGGTGAAGCTCGCTGAGAGAAAACTGGCCCCCTGGCCCCAAGGAGTGGGCCTTTCTCGCAGGCCTCTGAGGCTTCTGCGCAAGACCACCAGCGCCAGAGCCCATTTCAGCCCTCGAGCCTGGAGTGCTGTGGGATGCTGCAGGGTTAGGGTCGGGTCAAGGCCAAGAGCTGCGATGCGAAAGGCAAAAGCAGGAGCGCGAGTTGTCCTAGAGGCCAAGAGCGCTGCGCAAGCGGTGATCGCCTGGCTGCACGTTGATGTCGCTGGAGGCACGCCTCTTTTCATGAGGGGACAACGTTTCGGGCTCGTGGAAATGTAACCGCCTGACAGCAAGTTGCGAGCCTGCCCCTGACTCCCAGCTGCTCTCAAGCCCTCTTCAAGCTCCAACCTGTGATTGAACTCGAAAGGTGGTCGAACCATAGTCACCATGCTTCCACGCTGACAACATTCCTGCCGTTTGGCTAGATTCCCAACATCTACAGCCGACCTGACCACGACTGCGAACTAATATTTTCAACCTAAACTATCCCAATTTCGTTTGATCCATGGTACGTGCGCCTTGCACCTCGACCGTGTTAAAGATCGACAGGGACTGCTCCTGATGAGCTGCGATTAGCATGTTTGGCAGGAGTGTCGAACAACTGGATTCAACAGCCTCGTCGGCAAGAGATCGGGATGTGGAGTGCTGAGGATGGCTGGTTGAGACTGATAAAGCAGCGAAGCACGAGTACGTATCATCATGCTTTCACCATAGATGAGAACGATGCATCAGAAGCATGAAGTACATTGAGGAGACAGCTGCGAGCCCCAGTAAATCATCCTGCCCGAGCTCTGTGAACCAACGGAACCGTTGCAAAGGATGGCATCCTTGATGCGAATCTCGGACAACTCAAAAGACATGTTCAAAACCATTGCGGGTCCCATCGCAAACTTTGCGTGCTGTGACACGCTGACATCGCCTTGGCTTGCACTTTCGAAGACTCCATTGCCGTCTGACGGAATGTTCCCTCCACTTCTCACGATGGACCTTGTTGAAGAGACGGGAGAAACTTCTTTCTAGACCATTCCCACGTCTGATCGAACCTGACACAGTTGTATCAACTGCCTCTGATGCCGCTCGTGCGACGATTTCGATTTCGCATAAGGCTTATGCCGTTGGCGGTTGGCTTCATGTTGCTGTCGGTTCCGCATCTTGATGTGCAGGGCTAGTCTGCAAAAGCTATCAATGCTCATTATCCTGCGCACTGTAGGCCACCTGTGTGAGGCAGGTGTGCTGAATCGCCTCCAAGGCCGTGGCCGATCGGAAGCAAATCTTGTCAACACGAACGCCTGATGGCAAGCGCTCTCGCGAGTGGAAGGGCTTCTTTGTAGGTTCAGCCATCCAGGCCAAACCGCAGAATTCCCCGTGGCGCAGCTTCTCAGAGTCGCTAAACCCGGAGTAGGAGACATAACGTTTCACCCCAAGTTGGACACCACTGACTGCAAAGGCACCAAGTGCGCGCCGTGCCAGCATTAACTCGAAAAACCGAAAGATTCATTCAAACAGCATCGCGGATCGCCAACGTCTGAAACCTTCAGCCCTCAACTCTTAAACTCCGTAGCGCGGTAGGTGGTGCCTCGAAGGTTCTTCAGCAGCATTATCGCTGCTTCCCAGGCGCTTCCTCGAGTGCAGAAAGCAGGGTTTCGGGCTGTGGATGTTCAGGTGCCCGAACCTGGAGCCAAAAGGAGTCCCAAGGCGAGGGTTTTGGGCTGTCAAACGCAGATTCAAGACGGCCGGGGTTGCGTGGTCTTAAGCTCTGTCGTTGGCTCCCGAGGGAAATGCACTGCGATTGCATCTATGCATCAGAACCCGTCATCTACACTGACACCAAACGACACCAACCTTGCAACAAAGCACTGGCGCCTTCCTCACAGGCGCCCAGGGCAGCTGCCAATAAAGCTGGCTCTGGTGCGGGCGCCGAAGCGGCCACTGCCAATGCCTGCGAAAATGAACACAACAAAAGAGCAATATGCGGACCTCACAAAACAAGTGAGGCTCAGCAGGAAATGGACTTAGGTCAATCAAGTCCTAGGTGACTGCCATTATGACAAGTTGTGGCTCGCGTCTGGGCAGGCTACGTCACGGTTCTGACATGCATGGTAAATGTACATTTATGTGATTCAATGCAAGTCCGGAGCTCAGACGAGGCTTCGGCACCACTTATCGGCTCTGCGCTGTCAGAAATCTTTCTTCCGAGAGAACGAGATCTTCGACAAATCAGTGGGAAACGCGCCACAAGTGGCTAGCCTTGACACGCGGGACGGTATTCGGCATCCCTGCCGACCAGATCCCTGGGTACCCGCGTCTACATACTCACAACCCAGGGTCACTGGATCGCATGGGCTAGCGAACCAACCGCCAAAACGTGCCAACTAAATCTTGCAGGTCTCGGTCAAGCTCAAGTATTCGAGCGGTACTGGGGCCATTGGTGCCTATCCTCGATGCAACTGAGAGCAATTGTCGATGCAAGCTTTTACAACTGGCTCGTGCGGGACTGCTATCTATAATTGAAAGCAGCTTGACATCTTTGACCTGGCTATACGTGCCTGTACAGGAGCGAACAGGCTGCACAAAATCTGCATATTCCATGCAAGTGAACGGCTGCGATCAGCAACAACAGTCTGTGCGTGTGTGATCGCGTGATTTCTTATAGGTCAGGACGTCAGAGTGATGTGCATCGTCCGGTGAAGACCCAATCCCGAACCTTGACCTAAACAATCACAGAAACGGTCTGCGATGTGGTATCCCGACCAACAGATCAGCAGCTGCTCACAAAGAACTGCAGTGGTTGCAGGACTCGCCAACAGGGCCGATCCAAATCCCTAAACAGGTCCGGCCCCATCTGACGTCGACTACATGGGCCGTTCCCTTCAAGGTGCTCAATGGCTTTTATCAGCGTTGAAACTTTGCTGGCAGTTTGCGGGTGAATGTTCGAGTGACAGCGCCCTGAATCCATGCAGGTTGCATGTTGCGAAAATGACCCTGGCATGTTGACAAGGATGCCCCAAGCCCGAAGCTCAAGACTGTGATGACAGTACCGTTCATGGTGTTTCCAACTCCACGGCCTCAGGTGTTGTCTGATCTTCGACTTTGGAGTATGGACTTTCGCAGGAAGAGGCCCCACAAGACCGTGTAAGGTTTCTCGGACATGACTAGCTGCACCCGACACTACATTCACAGGCCAGAAATACTGACAAGTTCTTCCAGGCGGCGAAGGATGGAACTGTCCTCCCAAAAAGGCACAGAACCTTGTCGGAAACATGCCCACATATGTACAGATTGTCTATACTCTATACCCTGAATTGCCGCGAATTAAACAGTTGGTACAAGGCCGTCGCACCGCCAGCCACAAACGCTGGGTTTGGATGTTCGACCACGACATATCGGATATTGGCGACCTAGTTGCGTTCTTCTGCACTTTCCTCATTCTTTTAGGCTCCCTCACTTGCTTCGGTGCCTGCGCTATTCAAATTATAATAATATAAGAGTTTAGTAGTACATTATTATATCATCTTATTACTATTAGTATCATTATATTTTTTCATATTGTATTGCTAGCGAAAATAATCGTCCCAGCTCATGCTGTTGCTGCTGCTCGTGCTGCTGCCACTTCTACCACTGCTGCTGCTAGAACTGCGACCGCTAATGCGACCGCTAATGCGACCGCTACTGCTACTGCTGCCGTTGTTGCTGCTGCTGCTGTTGCTGAGGGTTTTGGCTCTGGGCTGATGAACTTGTGTGCAAAATGCCGGGCTCTGCATTGGAACAGTAAGCTCACTACAGGCTCGGAGGTTCCGAAGAAACAGAGCTGTCGGGCGCATGATGGCTCACTTCGTGCTTCTCTGTCTCGTGCAACTGCTGGGCAAACACCGCGTGGGTCTCTTCGCCTGCGGCTCAACTGCCATTGTGGAGGCCGTGCATCTCTGAGATACACTGCCCGTCAGATTGATTGTAATACTTACCCGATGCATGGCTCTGAAACTGGCTTGCTGCACCCTGTCTCCTGGTGCAATCACGATACGCTGACGCCTCTAAAGAGCCCTGATTGCCCGACTTTGCATCTACCATGGCCGACCGAGGCTCTCGCTCTCCCCGCTGTAGTGTGGCCAAAGCTGGCACCCCTGCGACCAAAAAAAAGACGAAGGCCAAGCGGACGCCAGGACCACCGCTGATGACAGCGACTCACTGGCTTCCTTGTTGCGCGAGTCCTCTGGAGAGGAAACCTCCGTCCCCGTTCCGGGAGCTCCTGCACGACCACCTCCGCCCACTCCAGTGACGGGTGCTATTTCGACACCGGTTGCAACGATGGCTGTGGCTATGGCATCCAGGACCGCCAACATTGCCAGGGATCACTATTTCCACCCACATCGGCTTACAGCATGAGCCGCATTACGAGCTGGTGGTCAGAACCGATCCAAGCTGCAAGAACCCGAGCCAGAACCGGATGGTGGCCCGAGTAACACGGCATAGCCGGTGCTGCTCAGCAAGACCCCTGAGGGTGCTTGAAGCTGGCTCTTCCAACTTTGACTACCCGGCTAGGCCGAAAGCTGGAGGCCCTCACAGGACTACGAGTTACTCTGTGCTAAAGCACACTAGCATATAGAATATAGAGACCCTCCAAGTTATCACCGTCTGCCAGGAGGCTGGCCGGTTCGCGGCTGCCTCAACCATGGCAGTTTTACCGTCACTTCCTTGGCTGGACCTGGCCTTGGTCACCCCCCCCGCAGAATCCGCTCCTCATTTGGAGGCTGCCGGCTCGACCCAAGTCACCCTGTGGACCAGGGGCCCTTTCTTGCTGTCTTCCTGGCTGCCCTGTGCCAGGCCGTGGCCCGTGTCCTTGGCCAGACAACGCAGCAGGTTCACGCTACGCCTGCGCCGTGGTGGTTGGAGTGTCCGTGGAAGTACGACAGACATTCTGGACCTTATCGGGAAGAGTCTGTCGGCCAAGTGCCTCATCAGCTTATTCGATTGCACTCATTCGCCTGGATGCAGGACGAGGCTGTTTGGGCTGAGCGGGATAGGAAGCTAGGAGGTCCACTTCATGTGAACCGTGGCAAGCTGTCAAACACCTACGACCTAGGACCCAGGTATAGCCTCACCTGGTCCATCGCTGTCCGTCCCCCCGGCATTCTGCCGACAATACTGTCGTCCCGTCTGCAATGCAGGTGACACCGCGGCGAAAAACCAGGTGGCGATTGAAACCTGGCTAAGGCGAAAGGAGCAGATAGCCATCGAAGAGAAGCTTCAGGGGACGGACAGGTGCAACCCACCATTTTACATTGTTCCACCCGAAGCTCTCTGTAGAACCCCCGGAGTGGGCCTTCACATCGAAGTCGACTGGTCACATGTGGACTCACAACACCAAGGTGCTGCGAAAAACTGAATGTCTCACGCTGCGGCGTCCATGATCACGATGAGCTGGAGCCGGGCGAGGAATATGAAGATGTACTGGCTGATGAAGAGGCGACTGAACCAACCCAGGTCCTCGACTTCGCGGCAACGCCCGAGCCCAATCTGCAGGCGGTGCCCGCATGGCTGTTTGGCTCTGCTATGGCGGGGAGCAATCAGCAGCACCACGGGCTATACTTATCCGCCCCTGGAGCTGACCGAGCTGTGGGGGCCCTGACGGCCGGCGAAAACCGAGGTCCGAAGTCCTACCACAATCGGCTACCCTCGTCGGCGGCACTACCCGTACTACCAGCTTCGTGTCTGGAGGCGCGAGGCCGGATGACGGAAGCTACTCACAAAAGGCTGCTCCCTGCTGTCCCATCCTTGGTCGGCACTGGACTTTGGACTTTGCAGGAATGCTGAACGATGACCCCCAACACGACCATACAGTTCACTGACAGCTCACAAGCATTTCAATGACGTTTTTCCGGGGATGTCCGAAATCCCAGGATACAAAGCCGGCTTCGTACTTGCCAAAAGGTACGAAGTTGTCGATTCAGAAGCTCGAACCGGAATGGCGTGGCCAAGAGTCACCTCGCCACCTGCCTCACAGCATCGGCTAGTGCCACTGCATCGGCCTCTGCGTCACTGACAGCTTGCAAGATGTGCACCTGTTGGGTTTTCCTCTCCGATTCAATCCGCGCTGGATTCTTACATCGACCCCTTCCCAACCTCATGATTGCAAGACCTCAAAGCTGTCACAAGAGCCTGCACCTAGACTCAAGCAAAAACGATTGCGCCTCTGAGTGGCAGATGTCGAAACCGAGTCGCAAGTAGCTCCCATGTCGAGAATCACACCTCGGCGGTGCAAAACAGTGATGCAACGAGACAAGTGGGGTACTGGAGTCCAGGCCGGAGCAAGTCACTCTTGTACTGCTCCCGCCATTCGGCATGAGATGCTGATAGGCTGTATGTCGAGGTGCCGGCTCGTCTGCATTTTGCCGCTTTAACAACTTTAACATAAAACAGGAGAGGATGCAACGATGTTGCTAAAGCGCTGCTCCAAGAAATCTCGTGAGTAAGCCGCACATCCCTGCAACCCGAACTCGAGAGAAACATCATACATCTTCTTCACCCCGCAAGCTGAAGCCACTCGAACTGACAAGCCCTTCTGCCCCCCAGCAGCAAGCCACGAAGGCCCCAGCTGGAAGCCCTTCTCTTGCAACGCTTGGGCGAGTTGGCTGGCACGACCGCTGCGCAGGGTCAGAGCTTTGGACACCTGATTCAAGCTGTGAGCTGCTGAGACGCGTGGACACGAATGACTTTCAATTTGGAAGAGCGAGGCTTCGCTTTGTTCGAGTGTTGGGCTTCTCCTTGTGTGGACCGTTGAAGGCTCTGCTCTGGAGCGACGCTGCAGGACGGCTACAGTATCATTGCAACTACCAGGGCCTCACAGCTTGAGAAACTGCCGCGTGCGCCAGGAAGAAACCGAAGACATTCAGTTCCTACAAACCTGGCACCCGCGCTTTCTCTGAAAGCCCCAGACATCCAAAAAGCCACGCTGCCAGCATGCCATAGTACATGGCCTCGTCGTTTTGCCGCCTTGTCCAGCCGACCACCTCCGTTCGTTCACAGGAGAACAGAGACTTACTTGGAGATGCAGCCGTGCTTGAAGCAATAAAAACCAAGCTGGGGAAGACTATCTCGAGTGTTTGGGCAATGGCTGGAGTTCTAGCTCGACCAGAAACACCATCTCCAAGTAAATAGAATTAAATTGACATCTTCGCAACCTCACCGCAGGATTCGAGGGAACATAAGTTGGAAGAGCTTCTTTCTGGTTGGCTCGAAGACGAAGGCAGTGCAGAACAGTAGGCCTCCCCAGCAATCGTCTCGCCTTCGAGGGAGACTCCCAGCCTGGCCGAGGTGTGTCCGTACGTCTATGCAAAGCGAGCTCAGTATATATGCATGTGTATCTGTATGTATATATATATATATAAGCAACGTACATACACCTACATTATATAGATATACACATACATGTAGCAGATATGTGTGTATATATATATATATATACACGTAGTATATATGCAGGCCTACGTAGTGTACATAATATTTCTGTATTGCAGCACAGCCTCGAGCCGCCGAGAGGGTCTATCTGAATTCCGGGTGGCCCGGGTTGTGTCCCATTAACTTAGAGCAAGTTTCTGCAGCATGAGTCTGGCTTGGCCTGTAAGCTGCCTCTCCCATATCTCAATAGCAAGGCACGAGAACTCCGGATCTCAAGCAGGCATGCTCTAACTACCGCCGCTACATGACTTGACAGACATCTCGGTGGCCCAGCCCCGACTTGTGTACTCCTAAACTACTCCAACTCGCAAATGCTATCGGCATACTTCATGGGCGGAGTGAGACAAGATTTGGGTATCGGAACACAACCTGAAACATCTTCGAGCGGCCCGCAAGCAACACCGAGGCCTCGATAAGAAGCTTTCTTGAAGATGGAGCACATATCGATTTATGGCCTGGTCTCTTGCAGCTGTGACTGCAGCTTCGGGCTTACCTCCTTGCATCTCTCGCTTCCCCTTCGTCTTCCGTACAGTTGAGGAGCAGTGGCAGCACAGTTTGAGTTTGTGGTGAAACTTTGGTTTGAGCCCCGTGCTGGACTTCAGTCCCCTCCCTCTTTCCCTCCCTGTTTTCCTCACTCTTTTCCTCTCTCTTTTCCTCCATCTTGTCCTCCCTCCCTTGCCACATCTCTCATATTTCTGCACATCAGTCATAACCCACTGTCACTATCGGGACCCTGCTGTTGTGCCCATGACTGGCCTTCACGCCCATTCCAGATTTGTGGAGATACCTGCACAGGTCTTCTGAGTCTACTCTTCATTGAGGTCGCTGGCTAGCTACTAGCTGGTAAGTTCCAGCTCGGAATTAGTGTCAACAGAGAGACAACTGTTGGGGCAAGGCTGAGAAACACACAAGGTGGCCTCACAGCGGAGAAGGCCGTTGCAGGCGATTTCGGCTGGAAAATTACTGCTAGCATGTAGACATGCAGAAACGTGAATGTCTCCCGACAAAGGCTGCTCGTCCTGTGTATCCATACAGATGAACAAGTGGTTGCCCAGATCCACACACTCCTTTCGTGCACCGGCTGCACCTGCATGGATTTGTTTTTCAAAACCCGCATGAAGCAAAGCTTCGGATATCAGCATCCTCGTACTGCTTTCTGGAGCAGGGGGGGGGCATGCCCTTTGTGCCAGCCTTCACACACTCCTTTCCGGCCGTTTAGAATCCCGGTTCCGTGTTGCCTTGGAGCCTCATCGGACAATCTGTCCGGCCTCTGCTGCTTCACGAAGAGCTCCGTGTGGACGGCATTCGCTACCGTCCCGCCCTCCATAGCACCAAAGGCATCGGCGAGCTCCGGGTCCTCTGACAGATGCTGAGCCCTCAAGTTTGAGGCTGGCCGACCACCCTCGGACATCCGCGCAACTGTCTCATCTCGCGCCATGGCAGCCGGCAGTCCTCCATCGGTGTCTGTATGGCCGAGAGGTCAGCGCCTTGTTCTGTCTGGCCAGAACAAGGCCAAGCCCAAACACTTCAAGTTCCCCTAAACACGGCCTTGGTTCTGCAACCCGAAACAAGCTCGAGTCGAGATCTCTCAAGCCCCTGTCCCAGCTAAGTCCTGGACACCATCCCGGCGACAGCCACGGCCTCGCTCTCATGCGGCTTGGTTCAGAGGATGGACAAAAAGACAGGCCACTCGCAGAAGCAGACGCGTTGAATGCCTGCTTACTCCAGGTTTTGCCAGGACCGTAACGGCACTTGCTGAGAACTCTCCTTGATGCTGAATTGTCTGGTTGCATGGTTCTCAAAGGAACGAAGCGGTCGAAGCAAGAGGGCCTGAGGGAGGATGCCGGGTCGAAGGCACAGAAGCCCAGGCCCTCCAGCGAGCGGCCGTGCTTCATGCAGGAGCCTCAAAGCAGCAATCGCAGTTCGGGCGCGGAGAGCAGTCGGCCCGGCGTTTGGACTTTCCAACAACACAACACTCCCTGCACGAAAGGGAATCGTGAGTACGTCTCCAGGGTCAGAGTTTTCAAGGCCGTCCTTGGTCGTGGGGCTTGTTCGACCTCTCGCATGAGCGCTGGTTTTTGCTGGGGCTATCAGCGCATCAGCTCTCAACTTTCGAAAGCAAAGGCCGAAGCACCCCGCGGCCAAGTGACCCATCAGGAACACGTCGCCGAGCTCACCTCCCATGATCGATGCAAAATCGTAGTCGATGTTGCCTGACTTGCTTCGGTCTTCGAGGCTTGCATGTTGGTGGCACTTGTAGATCGTGCAATGCTTGAAATGCCACTCCATGCTGAGCCGAGCCAAGGCACAAAACGCCTGGCAAATGTCCACAATGACGGCCGCACCCACAGCACGGGCAGCCATGACGATGGCCTTGAGCTCGCTGGAGGTCATCGCCTCAGATGCTTTCGCTTTTTCATGCCTTGCCGAAAAGGACTCTTGGATTGCCGGTCTGCTGGTAAGGCTTCTGGAGTGTCGCTCGGAAGCTAGATTTTTCGAGCAGTTTGCAGTTTGGCATGCTGAGAAAGACCTGCAAGCAAGAATGGCCCTGCCTCCCACCTCCATGGCCTCATAGCCCGTCGTGTATTCAACTAGGTTGTACAACATCCGTTTCGTCAGAGCTATGGATCACGGTCAAACTTCCCACTTATCTGCGAGGTTTCCATGTACTTGGCACTGGTCGGTAGGAGCGTCTTCTCAAGGCAATGGCTAATGGCTCGCTCTTGCCCTCACAAGGCGACTCAAACATGCTCTCCTGTGCCCGCTCAGCCTTTGGAGTTTCGGTGGGCCTGGGACAACTTCAAGGCTCTGCCAAGCGGCGATTTGCCCCACCGAGGACACCGCTGTGACATGGACCAGCCGCACGTTTCGTGCTCGTTGCTCGATGGCCTGGTTCTTCAATGGCCGTGGGCTGGGCGGCTGGGCACTGGTACAGGTAGAGTGATGACCTCCGGCCTGTGATGTGTGTTCGAGTTCCTGGTGCCATAGCTACAGCATCCGGGGATTAGGTGAGAACTTTTCTGGGATCAAACTCCTTAAATCAGGTGTCAATGCTCGCCGGACCACCTCCAGGAACGGCGCCGCCTGGTCGTCACCAGACTGCTCCACCTATCGGCTGACACGGGCAGAACAGGCTGGGACGATATTGCGAGTGCCTGTCATTGCCTGTTGTTGCCTCTTGCAGGGACCATCGGCAAATTCTGCTAGCTCGGGGGCTCGTCTTGCTTTGGCTGCTGCAGGCCTCCTGTTTCTGTTGCGGCTGGAGTATAGGTTGGCCTACAAGTTAGGTTGCTGTTGAGAATCATGCCCTAGCGGCCCTAGCGATCAAGCTTCCTGCAGCTGCAGCAGCTACCAATCTGACAGTCCCACTTCAACCCTCGACGGCTGAAGGAGGCACGCACCTCCACGCGCTTCCAGTTTGCATGGGCCAAGATCCTTTCGACCAGCTTCGGGCTGCTGGAAGGAAGATATGGTGCCATAGGCCATAGGTGGGCTCAGAATTTTGTAAGTGGAGAGGCTTCAGCTTCCTCAGCACACACTCTGCCTTGAACGACATGGAGTGCCAAGCTCAGGGTCGAAGACTTTCTCGCGCGGACATGATTCCGGATTCGCGATTCTTGGGCGGAAGAAGGGGCGAGCATCAAGTCCTACGAGTCTTATGTGGTGGCCCGACGAATCGCAAAGCACCGGCCGAGCACTTCCGAGCGTCCTCCACAATGAGCGGATGGAGAGGAAATCGGCTGATCCAGATCTGCACAAGGAGGCAAACGCTAAGGTTCTGTCACAGCAGGCGTTCTGTCTTTGCATGGCACAATGCGGCTACAAGCAGTGTGGGAAAGAACTCCCACGTTCAGGAATGATAAATACGTTGGGAACTTTAGGAGCTTGTGCACGGACAGCACAATTGGGAGGGGTCCGGTTCTGTACTCTGCCCACGCCTTCGTTAGGATAAGAATCACAAGCACAGCTTCAAGAGCGACATAGGCTGGTGAACCGAGGCAATGTTGTAACGGCCGCCAGCCTAGCCCCCATACATGCCACGAACATGGACCCACTATCTTCAGCAGGCCCTTTGCCTAAAGCCGCAGCAGAACAACCAAGTGCCAACACTGACGAAGGTCCAAACGCAAAGCTGTAAACAACAATGGCCCCGAATCGCGAGGTGGCTGCGCTTGTATTTCATATAGGGCCTGTAGGGCAGCTAGAGCAACCCCTCGTTCCAACTACTTCGCATCTGGAGGATTGTATTCAGACTGGTTTCAGCAAATATTCCCACGCTGAGTGCGGCACATGACCACGCAATCGCCTGAATCACTCAAATGCCTGGGCCACTGCACATTACTCAAACAGGTTCTTCGTCCGCAAGGTTCGTGCTTGAAGGGTTCTGCTCCGTTGCTGTTGCCATATCTTCAGGACCCAGCTTTTAGCAGGTCAGGACAAGACAGACAAGCAAACGCTGATGAACTCGCTACAGCCGCAGGTGAGTTGTTGCATTAGGAATACTACTGCCATCTATTGAATGGTTGGGGCCGCAGCAAACTGGATGCTATCTGCTGCTTTTCCTTGATACGTCTCTGGTGACTTATTGTCCCACGTCAGTACCTGCCAAGCGGCCTCTCGCGCTGTGCCAGTGCCAGCAGTACCCTGGACAGTGACTCGCTGAGGTTAGCACCTGGTTTTGGGCGAGACGAGAGCATGAAAACAGCCCAAAGTCTGCGGGAACTTAGCCAAAGGTGCTCGTTCCGATTGCTGCACGAGAGTCGAGATGCAACAGATCCTTAGCTGCCGCGAATGTCACTTCCCAGCACAGCCGGTGTAAGACTTGCAGGTCATTATCGTTTATGTCTGGGCTGATGCAGCTTGCCATATGTTGACATGCTGCTGGCTGATTGAGGCCAGCTGAGATCGACTGAGAAGTGCAGCTTTCTCTCGGGGGCCGGCCCTGACAGTGTCGCGAAACTCAGGCAGCACCTGCATTCGAACTAAGTTCGAGTTCATCCTCTTCTGCTTCTTTTCTCTACTTCCAAAGCTGTGTATTCTCCCCTTACTGTGGCAACAGGGTGCTGCGTGCACTTTGCACTAGGCCACTCGGTAGCCGCTATCCCAAGACCTGGGAGCGACGGCCGCAAATTGTGAGCGGAGCCAGCCGCTGCATTATGAAAGGCACACGGTATACGCCTTTGTCATCTGCAGGCAGTCCGGGTCGACAGCAGGACAGCACACGAACATACCAGAAGTCTACAACGACACAGGCGACTCGCAGGCCCGGCTCTCCCACCTGGCTGTAGAAGTAGCCGAGGTCCAGCCTGGAGATGTGGTCGATGAAGAGCTGCTGAGAGTTCACAAGCTCGGCCTTCAAAGGCACTTGGAGGTACATCGTTCCGTCCAGGAAGGCACCTCATGCCTGAGCCTCAAGGTGACATCGACGTACCCTTGCGGCCTTCAAAGGAGGGGCCATGGAGAAGGAGCGGAAGTCTCGCGACCAACGGTCCTCAAAGAGCTTCTCCTTGTTCGTGGGAGCATGTTGGAGTTCTGGATTTCGTGTTGCACCGGGCTTTTCAATAAAATCTAGAGTATCGACAGCCGCGGATAGACGACACATCATAGCCACGTGCGCTTACCGTCTTGCATGCCGGCGGGTTTTTCCGCTGACCGGAACGATCGACTGCCTCAATGGATGGCTTCAGGGCTTTTCAGAATCGCTGCCGGGCTCGATTTTATTCAACTACTTGGTGGACGTTAAGGCGTTGAGGCTACTCCACGGCGATTCGGCGAGCTCCTCGCTGCGAAGATTGGAAACTGCTGAGGTGAACTTAAACTCTGGCAGCCGGGCATCTGGACCGTCCTTGCTTGGAGTTGGCAAGGGGGGTGGCACAGCCTGAATAGGCTTCGCCAATAATTAGAGGCAAACGGTTCCGTCGTATATGCTACATGGGCAGAGGCAGGCTGGCGGAGCCCAGAGCAACTTCCACAAACTCACGGAGAAGCAAACTTCAACAAATGGAGCAGCGGCTGCGTCGTCGTCATCACTATCGGACAGGAAGGGACCACAGCACGAGTCATCACGACGAGTGTCAGAATCCTGGCTGAACTCACAGGCCTCGCAGCCCAGGCTGTCGAAGATGGCCTCACCAACCTTTGCCAAGGAGAGGGCAAAGGAGCCGGGTTGGTTAGGAGCATGCTTTTGGTTTGGGAAGCATCAGGCTTGCGATGCATGGTTGTTCCGTGCGGGCATTCGGGCCTCTCGACCTCCTTACCTATCCATTCCACATACACTTCCCTCTCCCAAGACAGAAATCACAAGTCTGGGCCTCCTTGGCAGCACCGGCCAACCAAACCCACTTGCTCTGCGTGGGACATCCGGCGGCGAACCTCCCGATTAATCCCACGAGGGGCGGTGTTATGCGCCGAAAACGGAGGGCACAACAAGATATGCAAGAGGACAGCAACTACCCAGAGATATTGCCAGATGGGGGGAGACACAGAAACAGAAAGGGAGAGATGGAGGGAGACAAAGAGAGACAGAGTTTGTGAGAGAGCGACTCCCCATCCACGTGAGCAATAAGAGGCCCACTTCTTTATGCACATTTGCCTTGGAATCCACTGGCTGAAGCGGGAATTGAGGACGCTCTCCAAGTGGACGAACATCTGCCTGCCAAAGCAGAATAGTGTTTTGGGTTAGATTGACACATTCTAGAGCAGTTGCGTGTCATGCGAAAGTAAACAATCTGCGACATCAACCTCCGAGTTTCCAATTCTCCAAGATGGTGCAACCCTGCGCACTTGGTGCCGAAAGCCTTTTCTTCACCTAGCATTGCTAGCAAGACACAGGAAGACGGTTGCCAGCTTCAAGCACCGTGGCTTTTTAAACTGCTTCCGCGTTGCGGGGTCTACCTCTTTGGAGCGGAAGTATCGACATGTAAGGCTAGGGGCGGGCCAATGGAGGATGCCTAGCTGTTAGCTGAGCGCCTGATGGAAAGGCCAGCTGTACCTGTGGTGTCGATCCCATTGGACGTCACGGCCTCAGCTCGGAGCATCTACCAGTCACACAGGCCCTGAGTCGGCTGAGCTTCCCACCAGGCCAAGGTGCGCGGACCAAAAGAGGCCTATGCCGTACCTGAGGCGAGGCGACGGCTCAAAGCAAGAGGTGTACCTTCTGAAACGAAGAATTGAGTTGTGCTCAGCCTTAGTCCCAAAATGGAAAGGGGAAATGCAGCCTGGGAGCTGGAAGGAATGCACCTTGAATCTCACTGAGAAACGGATGAAGCTCAGAATTATTCTTCGGAAGGCGTTCTTGGCAGCCAAGGCACGGCGTTCAGCAAGTCTCGACCCGCGGAACCGCGCACGCGCATTTCGTCGCCTGTGACTTGAAGACTTCTGCAAAGCCTCGTAAGCTGTCCTGGGCTGAAACGCAGACATTTCGCCAGGGCTTCGAAAGAGGATGCAATCTCTCATATTTGTTCGGCTCTTGTTTGGGAAGAGCTTGTCGGACTCCAAACCCACGCCAGCACTTGCGAAGTTTCAGCTCATCAGTCTAGCCTCCAAAGCAAAGCACCCTCGAAACCTAGCAGACTCTCGTTGGTCCTGGCCCGGAACTGTTGCAGAACCTTCCATACATATCGCCATCCAAGCATCAGGTCGAGCGTTGAACCCAAGACCTCCTCAAAAAGGCGAATCTCCTTCAACTATAACTATGATATTATGATCATTTCGAAAGCCGGAACCTAAGATTCCCCGCTCCAATCCGCGCCTGCTTTGGCATCTCAGGGCCTCGCGGGTCTGTGCTGGCAAGTCGCGCAGGGCAATGCTATCGCCGCCGCTGGTGCCCTTCAATGCCGGACGATACTCCTGGGAAAAACGGGGATCCCATCAGATTTGCCGACATGTTTGCTACGAATCCTGGTGTTGGAAGCAATGCCTCAGCTGGTCATGTGCCTCCAGCCACACATGACTCTGCAAAGAGCTCCCCAGCAACAGTCTCCTGGTATGCGCAAACATCGAGCTGTGCCAGGATGTTCCTCAGTGTAGATGCTCTGACTGTGTACCAGATGTTGCACAATGCTGTCAAAATTGATGTGCTGCTCATCGCAGGAACAAACCATGGCCCGTCTTGCTGTGTTCACTTGAAGTGCGCGGATGCGTCGAGTCACTACAAAGCAAGGTGACCTCATCTAAAAGCCAAGTCCGCCATCCCTGGAACGATACCTTTCAACCAGGCGGAGCTGAAAGCTTCTGGCCAAGAGGCAGGACCTGGGCCATGGCCTTCCAGCTTTCAGCTTCTTCCGAGTTTCGGGATCGGGAGGAGAATCCGGGTAGTGCTATGAACAATTCCGCAAGGCTCCGCAGCGCATGCACCGGGCCGATAGCCGAATCTCGTCATGAACGCCCTGGCCCTACATTGGTCCGCCCTTCCGCACCGCAGTCCCAAGAGCCCTCGGCCCTGGAGGCCTGGAGCAGCTGCGCCCCCTCCATCAAGGCCTTAGCTGGTTTCTCCTCTTCAGCCGCGCTGGCTGCCCGGTCCTCGGCTCGGAGGCTCTGGAGGCTCTTGCCTTAGCCTTGCGCCTGACACACAGATCCTTGCAGGGCACCAAAGCAAAACGACAGGCGATCTCCACCAGCTGGTGGCAGCCACGGAAAAGTGGCTGGATAGTGGCAATACCTGAGCAGTCTCGAATTCCGTTCGATAAGAACCGGACTTCGTCGTGGAGACAGCAGACGCACAACTTTATTAAACGAACGGGCGTGGGACAACACCTTCGGCCATGGTGCGGGGGTCCTGGTTGCTTTCCACATTGATTTCTTCCGCCTGCACCATGAGGTTGTAAGAGAATACGTGAGGAAAGTACCCTGCAAAACTGGGGCTCGGCGATCAGGGCTGGGGTCTGAAGCGCACCACCTTCAGCCCTGGCTGGATGTGACTAGCCCTTGGTTCCCACGGCCTCCGCAGGCAGCTGTCGAGTTCGCAATGGCAGTGATGCCATCCAGAACCAGCTAGACCAGAAGAACGGCCTGTCTTGAGCTTACACATCGAGGCGAGAATAGCATGGACCTACTTCGCAGTGGTGGTGAGAGCCTGGGACTCAAAAAACACAGCTGCGTCTTCGTGACGAGAATAGCGCCAGACTCTGCAACCCAGACAGCAATGCCACTGCCGCAATCCTCTGCTCAACCAGCCTCGAAACCCCTACATCATCACAGCAACATGCATGTGCAGATGTTGAAATAGGGGCTCAAGCCCCAGACCTCCTCCGGTAATCCTGACCGAAACACTCGGTGATGAAGAACATACCTGGGCTCCTGGGGTTACCCAGCTCAGCCCGCCCCCTGCAAACCTCGATAAACTGGGGGGGAGGCTGATGTGGCAGACTTTTGGACGACAAAATCTCGAGAGCTCCAGCTCCAGAAACCTGGAACCACCAAGCTGACAGGCCTCCAAGCAGGAGGGGCCCGCAGCGCTTTCCTGCAGGTTCTCATGCGCGAATTAAAGGGGGTTGTGCAGTTTCCGAGAGCATGTCCTGTGATTCAACCAGCTTTTGAACGCCTTCGCTACAAGTCCTCTTCCGACACTTCCAGAACAGCAGGACAGAGCTGGCTAAAGGATCGACTAAGGTATCTAGGGTCGAAGATCAGGGTGGCAACAGACACATTGGGACAGCTCTGTAAAACAGGATTTGCAATCACGAGCTTGAGCTTGGGGCCGGGACTGGACGCGGGCAGATTTCCTCCCGAATAGAGTGCAGTCCAAGCAGCACTAGGACACTTGGCAACGTGCAGAGGAGCTTCCAGCAACGGACGATCCTGACATTCATGTGGTGGTCGCGGGTCGCTGCTGAGCTGGGAGGATGAAGGAACTCCGGAGTTTGAGGATGAGAAGGGAGTTCATAATTAGGGCCTTGACTTCGAAATTAACTTCGCCGCCTGCCTTGTGGAACAGGGAAGCTCCGAGAGGACACATCGTGCGACCATGGACCATACCATGCGTGGAGGCAAGTCCACGTGTGGGATTTCCAGTAGACCCGTCCGTTCTGAGCTCTCCAAACGCCAGCAACAACCGTATACGCCGTAGACCTCACTCCTCCGCTCTCACGCTTGCGGCTTTCCGCTCTCAGCCTGAGGAGCCGGCAGGGTTGCCTTGATGTTAGGGTAGATCTGCCTGAGATCACCAGGGTCGTCTAAGATAAATCAAGATCAGATGGATATTGGAGTAGCTTTTGCTACCGTGCTCTCACATGTTCTGCTGTCAGCTTCATGCGTGCTGCACGTTTGCCACCTCGGAACCACATCCAGGCTATGCCTTCAGGTTTCGGTTTAAGGGGCCACGCCGCCCGACAATGAGAAGACTAAACTGCCACACAGCTGCTGCAAGCATCGGAAGAAGTTGGCTTGCGTGAGACAGATCTCCTGTCCAATGTCGCTCATTCTCCAAGGTAATCTACGGAGCTTGTGCAACCTGTGGTCTTGGCTAACATCGTTCCTTAACAGCTGTGGATGGGATAGGGAATATATGATCAACTATGGACACCGCAAGCACGGTTGACTGAACTTCCGATGTGCTTTCGAAGAAATGCCACGCTTGCCTGGTGTGAGGATGACAGGACTCCGAGTCACAAGTTGCGGCGGCATGAGGTGCTATATACTATGAGATTTCGCGCCCTTCGTTTAGAGAAGCCGGACTACAATCGCAGAGGGCAGCCGCACTGAAGGGGCCAGAGTGCAAGGACTTCTGCCTGAAGACTCTGATGCAGAAAGCAATCATCATCTAAACTCCGACCCCAGCCCCCAACCTCCACCGCCTCGGAAGTCTAGGCGAGCCTGCACGGTGAAGTGCTCGGAGCTTGTGACGCTGGCGCACTTCACCATGGGCTCCTTAGCTGTTGGCATCTAGGAATCTAGGAGCCACCTCTATTTTATCCTCCACAAAACTCTGGTTACATCAACGCATCGTCAGCCAAGCCTCGAGAACATGTTGCAGCAGCTGCAGGGAACAGAGGGCCCGGCCCTTTGTGCACGAGAAAATTTGAGCTTCGCTTAGAACCCAAGGCTGGTGGAAAAGCTCGCTAGGGGTAGGCCTCGAGTTGCTGGCCTACCTTGTATCGCAGGTTTTGAAGCATTGACCGAAGGCAGGCGGTGACCAGGTGGTCTTTCTCTTGATCTCAAGAGTTGTTGAAGGCTAGACGGGGGCCATTTTTACAGTACCGCTGTGCCTTGCGCATGGCCCAGTATTCGATGGTTGTAACTTCTGCATCCCAGCGCCCGAAGACAATTTCAGCACTATCAGTATTCACGAAGAACAAATGTGCGGAAGCCACTGCTCGGCACGTGAGCTTCCTGCATGGTTTCATTCTGATCTGTGGCGCGGGCCCCGATGTCGGGTGCCATTGTGACTCTCTTGGCCTGAGTCCAGTCGGGGCTGACTGCTTTTCACCGCAGGGAAAACGCAACGCCTACACACCAGACTCCAAATGCCGTCAGCACGCAACCTAGCACACTATGTTTTGCGCGGTAGCAGCAGCCAAGGCTGATTGCAGCTCTGCTGCCAAGGAATTTCGAACCCATGCCTGCGCAAAGAAGATCAGGGCAGAAGGCGAAACCGACGAACACAAGCAGTTCGGGGCTGTGCGCTTCTATTAACCAGTGCGTGAAACGCGGCCCTGCGGCGGCCTCGTAGAGATTGGCACCTGGCTCGCCTCCCTGCGCGGCCGGGCAACGGCTGAAGTCTTTGGCTTGCCCTGTCAGACGGGGATGAAAATTGCGAGTCTTCTTCTTCTTCCTATTTGTACTCATCTTCCCAGCAGGAAGGGCACCAGCCGCAGTCGCAACTTTAGCACATCCAGCACCACCACCGATGATAACTGCTAGCATCAGCACCAGTTCTCCCCCCACTTCCACTGCCAATGCCAGTGGCAAGTCGCAACTGCAGACGGAGGGATAGCAAAAACTTTGAGAAGGAGTGGTGGGACGAATCGAAGTTCTTGCGCAATGCCGAACAGAATAAGTTCGCTTTCAGGACCCACCCTGCCCTTCGACAGAACCATGCACGCCTGTGGCATGTCCTTTGTTCCAACTTCCTCGGCAATTCTGGGCCAAGCCCAAGGGACCAAAAATAGACTCGGCTTCAAGGGAGATTGAACTTTTTGAGCGGCTTGGGAAGTTCGGGCCATGTACCGGTGGGGAAGGGCTGGTGGCTCAATTCTTGATTCCTGGAATCCTGGCACTCTGGACAAGACCTGCAAATCACTCCAGTCAGTTGTCGAACATCTCAACCCCTGGGCCTCTGTGGCCACTTTAGGGCAGCCTTGCGACCGGGGCAGCTTCGCAATGTCGCGGTGTCCATCGCCACCACCATTGCTTGAAAGCCAAACTCGCGAGGGCAGCGCTGGAAGCCGAAACGCCTTGACACAGAACCTCAGCAAAGCATTTCATGTTGATGCGGGTTGCCCCTCTTTGGGCCGCTAAGCTCCCTCACAGATTTCGGCACCGAACCCACAGTCGCGCCAGTCCCAAGTGAAGTCACCACAAACACACACACACACACACACACACACAGGAGACGTAGGCGTTTTCGCAACGGTCTGCGATCTCTGCTCGGTTGGATCCAGCCATGCGCAAGACTGGTTGTTGAGGCGTTGAGGGACGACCCAACCTTTGCAAGCGGCCGCTGGCCTTCTGCCACTCCGCTGCTACAGCGCAGGCGCCTCCACTTTAGAAGCTTTAGAATCTCTGATCGTGAAGGTGGGTATTGGAATCTCTAGCTGTATCTTCGGATAGCTGTTCTGCAATAGTTGTCGCTGCGGACCCTTCGGTTCTACACCTCTATGTCAACATTCTATGTCAACGTTGACGATCCCTCGTCCGTGTCAAGAATATGTTCCAATCTGTGCCGTTCTTCTGGCAACTAGAGCCAATGCTCGTTCAAGTATTGAAAACCACCGAAATGCAAGATTTGATGCAGGCACCTGTCGCTGAGCAGAACGATATCAAATCGGCGGCGGGCGCTCCTGTTGCTGCATCTCTTTGGCACTTCTGATGCTGACATATGCTGACGCTGCTCGCAGTGCCGTGCGAAGCTCTGCTCGCTGCTGTGATTGCTTAGCCTTCCATGCGTTTGCCTGTGTGCGTGGCGAGCAATGGCGCCTGTTGCAGTCGGTTTTTTCCGGTGAGCCTCCCTGTTGCCTGGAGGGAAGACATGTGCCGGAAGCGGCACACGACATCCTGCGTTGAGCTTCTTTCTTCGGCCAGCCTTCTGGACAGCCGAGGAAAAGAAGGAAACGTGTGTTGCAGCTCCATGCACCGATTGACATCCCACAACCACACATAGAAAACAGCTGCCAAGCAACAACATGCAAAGATGCTTTGAACGCTCGGCTCCTGAGTTTACCTCGAGCTCACCGAGCCTTGCAACACGCACGTGCTTCAGCTTCGGGCCATGAGTAGCACAGGCTCATCTCGGAAGCTTGAATGCTAGAGCTACTGAAGCTGAGTTTGATCATCATACCTGAGCTTTCTCGCAAGGCGAGGGGTGCGAATGGAAGTTTGAGACTGACATGCTGCAGGGAGGCAGCTCTCAGCTTGGTCGTCCATACTCGGGCAAGAACGACAACACGTGCTCAGCTGCCGGCAGTTGAAGCGCCTGTTCCCACTTGCCGCCACGCCTCAGGTGCTCTTGCACCAAGGTTTCCCAGTCGGATTCCATGGCTTCACAATAGGCTCTTGTGTATGTGCTTCACAATGCCCTGACTTGCTAACCTATCACACATCTAGAAGTTTCAATCCAGCAGCCTATTATTTTGAATAGTAACATGGTCAGGCAACATCCTATTCGGCTGATGGCCACGCACTACTCGCTTTAAGGCTCCAGCTCGCATGCATCGATCCTGTCAAGTCGCACAGCTTTTGGCAATTACGGTGATGCTTCCGGAAACGAAAGGCAATGGGCCGTTCGACCGTTGTCAAACTGCAAACCCTGACAGAAAGTAACCGCGAAGCAGTTTGGCGAACTTGATCCCCGCGGCGCGAAATGCCACGAAACGAGTTATCTTGATTGTGCGAGAGAGGCAGAATTGGAGGGAAGGGAATGCAGCAGTGGGGAGGCAGCTGTTCATGCAAAAGAGACTTGGTCATCGTCGTGATGCAAAACCCGAAATCGAAACCCTGAAAGCCAACAACTCCGTTTCATTGGGCCCCCAGCGCAGCATTCCACACTGCTACGGGGGCAGCTCCAGCAGTTGTCGCAACTGCAAGAGTTTCTAAGGCCTTAGGAGCCGTGTTTGGGAGACCTGGAGCTGAGGAAGCAGATCCCCCCGCCCTCGGCTCACGGCTCAGTCCATGTCTTTGCTTATTTCTTCATGAAGGATTCGCTGGTTCTGCACGAAGTTCTGCACGCACGGAGACAAGTTTTCCAAGGACACGCCGCACACTGAGCCGCTCTTTATGTCAGCACCCCATGCATGGTATGAGTCAGCCATGTGCCGTTGCCTTCAGGCAGGAACGGAACGGTCTCCACGCCAATGCCAGGAAGTGCAACTCATACTGATTGCTGGGTGGTGAAACCATGATGGTGCTGATGATGATGAGGAGGACGACTGTGATGATTTATGTTATAGTCTCTCTGCTGCTGCTGCTGCTGCTGCTGCTGCTGCTCTTGTTTTGTTGCTGCTGCTGTTGCTTCTGCTGCTGGTGTTGTTGTTGTTGTTGTTGGTGGTGCTGTTACTGTTGCTGCTGCTGCTGTTGTTGTTGCTGCGGTTGTCGCTGTTGCTGGTGGTGGGTTTTATGACTTGAGAGTGTACTTATCCTTCTTGTTGTCATTTTTCGCAGATCCTTGCTGGTGTTCAGAACCTGAGTGCGGTACTCGCTGCCACTGCTGCGCCCTTCCCAAGGCAGTGATGGCCGCGCTGTACGTCACCTGCAGCAGAGTTGAAAGGAACCATTCCGGATCCGGAAAGCTGAACCCAGCCCAAGAGGCAGCTGCAAACAACCCACAGTGCAATATAGTGACCTTAAGAAACGTTAGAATACATGATAATTAGTATACACAGTCCCAATATCCAAACAAATCCCTAGTGCGAGCTCAGACCCGCCTCGTTGGGTGACAAACGCTGCGCTCCAAGGTTTTGGAGAATCTCCAAAGCCTCGAAGGCTCCACGGGCTCATCTCAAGGAGGGCACCCAGGGCCCAAGCACCGGTCGAGTATATCTGTACGCAGACCGTTCTAGAGACCTCCATGGACTTGGCTCCGGGCTGCCAGCCAAGAGTCGGCGCTGGAGTCCTGGTTATCTTCTCCGTGCTTTGGCTTCCATCATTTCAGGCCCGAGCTGCGTTAGCTTTAGGAATGACCCTGGTCGAGGCTTCAAAACTTGAGGGAAGCTGTGCTTCGGAATTCGCTCAAAAGTGTTGTGTGCTTCAGCGATGCATTCTGTAGGGATGCCAGTGAGTGTCAGTGAGTGCTAGCGCCTGCTGCTGCGCGTGCGTGTGTGTGCACGGTGTGCAAACGGATTCCTGCTTGACATCACAGGAGGTGGCGCGGGACAACAACTTATCGCGACGTTTTGAATGGCAACTTGCCTCCGCACAGCACCCCACGACGGAGGAGAAGGCGACAACATCGGGCTCAAACTTGGCCTCAAACACGGTGCAATGCTTCTAGGGCTCTGTCTGCCGTGTCGGGCCTTGCTGGGCCACCCTATCACGGTGAAACATCCAAGCCGCAAGCAAACTTGACTCATAACTCCGCATAACTGCCGTACCTGGTCCATCTCCTGCAGAAGCTGCAGGCTAAGTTCCTTGGCGAGGCTTGACGGTGAAGAAGAGTCAAAGGCCCCGCGGAGTACCCACGACGAAGTCAGCTCGCAAGGTGGGCATCTCAGTACTTACAAGTGCGGGCCTGTTCGAGTGCACTTGCGTAGCTTACATCACTTCCATGCTTGAGAACACACGATTGTTGGTATTGAAGGCCCGCAACTTAGCTTTGCCGAGGAGAGACACCTTGGACCCGTGCCATGCAGGGCTCCCTGATTAAGCTGTTGGAGGACTACAACAGGTGGGGCATCGTGAATTTTTTGGCAATACAGCTCCGTAGTCGCGTCTCTCGAATTGTGGCACATGTTCTTCGTTGCCTTGACCCAACATTCTACGCAAGCTGGAATGCTACCAAAGACGTGGGACGATCTTTGCCGTTTCCGGCGATACATGCCTCGCACCTGGCGTTCGCATCCCGTAGACCTCGATCGCTTGCTGATTGAGCTTAGTCCCACACCCATGTCGTCACTGCAGCGACGACGGTGTTCCAGGCGATGTGGTCGGCTGCGACGTGTGCTGCTCTTCTTCGGGTCAACATGATTTTTGGAAGTGGCCCGTAGTCCAAGTCTCAATCCGAAGGCGTTTCATCTGGTGAGGCTATATCAGTCTGGTGAGGGACGTTTCGTATTGAGGGAACCCCTTCCATGACTCCAGACACGCTCACACAAGAAGACGGGGAACTGCGTTCTGCTGCTCGCAGAAAGGACTCGGGGCACAATCCCACAATCTTGTGTGTCAGGCTCATCAAGCAGACCTTCCCAAGCCGGTGCCGTGCCTGCACCTCGCATAGAGAAAAACAGATGCAAGGCCAAGTCCTCGGGAGGCCGCACATGCTGGATGTGTCAGCAAGCATTGAGGCACTTACATCTACTCGTGCAGAGAGCGACGATCACCTCGAAGTGCTAGGGCAGAGGGGCCCATGTCGCGGACGCGTGGCCCTTGCAAGACATTCCGAGATATTCTAAGGTCGAGGCCCAACGGGAAGCGCCGGCCTCCGTGGTGCATTACTCGGGACTCGCGACGGTGTTTGCCGTGGGTGTGACAACTCCCGATGAGTACCCTGCGATACTGTGAGCATCCGCCAGCACTACAAAAAGGGAAGCTGGACCCCCCGTCTGCAGCAAAGCGAAACAACACTTCTGTAGCTGAGATTCCAACGCATGCCGTAACGGCTGCACTGCAGCTCACTGCATCGGCCCGCAGGTGTGCGAGTTGCCTCGTTGTGTTTCCAGGTAGAAAAGGACTGGAAAAACGGTATGCTGCCTGCAATCTCTCTGAGACATCGGCATGGAGTTCAGCACCTCGAAAGCCTGTTCCCAGTTGCCTGGCCACAAGTCTCGAACATTCTCGAACGCTCACCAGTACCAAATCCCAGTCGAAGTGCAAACTACTAAACAGATCACGTCGCTCTGCCACCCCACACCTCCACATTCCTCGTTGCACCCGTTCCGTGTGGTTCCCAAGCACCAAGAAGCTGCTGCAAGAGTGCGTACGTGCAAGGCTACTAGCTACTCCGCCCGAAAATGCGTCATGCGGCTATCAAGGAGCTCGAGCCAAGTCCAGGCTCATCCCTCCTCTCAGCCTCTCGGGTCATCAAGGACGCCAGGTCTGCCCGCGCTAGCGCACGCGCTGAGAGCCGCATTCCAAGTAAAAATGTCCTTGGAAAAAGCGCGGAATCCTAGAGCGATTCCTCGGTCACATGCACACAACCTTTTACAGGAAGACTTACAGCATGGCTGTTTGAACACAAGTCTCTGGAGACTTCATGCTACCGCAATATACCGCAATCAGCATTGAAACCTTGATCTTGGACCCTCTGCGATCTCATTTTAGTCAGGTCGCTGCTTGCAAGCCCTGCAGCAGCAAAGCCTCTAACCGCGAAGAGTCACGAGAGGCTTAGATATTTGTTAAAAACCCTTTTCCTCTGCTTCTGATTTCGGTCGAACATCTTGTGTTGCTTCGAACCTTGGTGCCTCTTGTTCTTGTACTGTACTGGTGCGCGCCCTCGTGCACAGACGTGCCTTTTCCATTGGTAATTAACAAATCGGAAAACAAACAATGATCTGCACCAGCAAGTACATGCAAGTAGTTGAACAACCCGAATTCTGTGTACATGTAAATATACAAACACACATGCAAGCATACATTGCTCTTTGTGTTTTGAGCACGCATGCATGCATGCCTCTACAAGTTGTCCATACGTCTTAAAGGTCTAAGACAGGGAAGGCGAAGTTCTGGGGTACGAGTATGTACCAGCTGCGGCCTTTTACCAGGAGGCCGATCTTTGCACATGATGCGTTATAATGTTCGTTTTAACATTGGGTTTGGGTTTCGTCTTACGTAGTATCAGCATGTATCAGCACTGGTATTCGTATTCGTGTTCGTATTAGTGTTAGTATATTTCTTCTTCTGAGCTCGAAGAACACTCGAAGGCCTGACGCCGAAGCCCGCGATTCGAGGCCCGGGCGGTAGTGTTTCCCTAGCCATTCACTAGACCGCAAGCCCAAACCCTTGCGAAACTCCGCAGAAAACGGAAGAACCGGCAAACCGAGAGACTCGAAACGGAGCGGCCTGCACCAGCTCCAGGGCCAGTTCCCACTTTGCAGCCTTCTCGCAAGCGCCTCCAAAACATCGTCGGGTCTGTTACTTCATCTTTCTTTGTCTGAGGTGCCAAGATTCATCGATTTCTGCTGAGATTGATGTCAAGGAGCTTGGGTTTCGTCTAGATGAGGGCTTTGAAACAGGCCCAGCCGTAAAACTATTTGCAAAAATCCCTTGCGGTTCGAAGCATGAGAAATGCCTGTGCATGGACTGTGTGAGGGTTGTGCCTGAAGGCACTGAGCTGCGGTGAACATGCAGAAATGTGAAGACGCACGGCAGAGGTGCTGGCTGATGCCCGCATTGAAGGAAATGATGTCAGCAGTTGTTCTGCTCCCACCTGCGCATTGCATCCAAGTCTTAGAGCTTGTGGGAAAAAGTTGGTCGAAAGATTTAAATTACAGCCCGTCTCCTGAGCTGACCCCTCACGCCTGAAGCTGCAGCCGACACTCAGAGTTTCGAACGAGTCTCGCGCACTTTGTGCCTAAGAAAAGTTTTCGGTTCTGAAGAGTGGCCTCCCAGCAGGTCCTCCCACAAAAGCAACAGCGCATGCCTCGGTTTTTGGGCAGGGCAAAGTTGGGAAACAGTTAAGACCATGTGTCTCTCTGAGACTTCCGCTTTTTCCATTCGGTTTCTCGTTTCCCCCTTCATCTTGCCATATCTTGCCATCTGCCATAGAACCCAAGGCCAGAGGCTCTTCGAACGGGCTTGGCCTCGGGATTTCTCCTCCAAAACATTCGGGGCCCCCGAAGCAAAGGCTTCAGACTCTAAGACTCTCAGATGACTCCGGTTGATACTACGCATTCGTCCGTGCCTTCCACCTTCCAGCAGGTATGTTACGAACAAACATGCATGCATCTATCAGCATGCATGCATGCATGCGTACATAGAACTGTTGGATACGTACAACAGAGCAGGAATCACAGTAGCCATGGCCGACCATGAAATCTCATAAGAGATGGAAGCGGAACCCCCTCTTCATATCACGGGGGCACATTTCTAACAGTACACAAACCCTTCTCTGACTCCATGAAGGTAGCAAGCAGCACCTGCAGACCTGCGGGTAGAAGCTTACATACGTCCACAAACACCATCCTGGCGGTTACACTGGGCACCACACACCCAGGCACTGCTCTTGGCACAAGCAGAGACCTCGGTTTCATGACGGCTTCGGCTCAGGGTCTGGCTTTTTCGGATTCGCTTGGGGAGCATGTGCCTCTTCGAAGCTTCAGGCACGCTTGGCAGGAGCGTGCGCGTTGCAGGACGTTTGCAAATGATCTTTGCTGTAAGGGCGGATGCTGTCGGCGGAGGTCTCGTGCGCCATAGGTCACTCCGGTAGAGTCGCCAGAGGGTTCCTATGTCGTCAGCACAGGCACCTGCTGGAGAATGTCAGCCAGTTGCACCAGGCGCTCATTGGGGTCGTGCTACTCGGCTACTTTCCCACCGTCAAGTTGGGGCCCGGGCGACCGTGTTGTACGACACCTTGGGCACTGGCTTCAGCTTCAACCCCTGCTCCAATTACTCAATCGGAAAATGAGCCGGTTGCTACCCGAAAAGTGGATGTGAAAAGTCATGTCGAGAAAGCGTGTTAGCATACCAGCAGATCCTGAACCATCAAGCCCTCTGTGCACCCTCAACAAGTGTCGATGCTGACTTGCGCTATTTGGTGCGGAAGTCAGACGTCGTGCGGGTCTCTGTGGCTGCCGCGTTTGAAAGCCACGAAAGTACAGCAACATTGGGACTTGGACTGGCATCGCGGCATGCGTGCTGTCCTGTCCATTCCCCTGTTGCTGGTTCTGGCATTGTGCTGGGATGGCAGATCTGGGCTGCACACATGTACCGGAACTTCCCAGGGAAGATGGGTGGAGAAGGCACTTCTCTGAGAAGCACGTCACATCCACGAAAACTTGCGTGCTCTGAGACACTCTGCTGCTGGAGGGCGACAGTACCGATTTCGAATTGTATAAGGTGGAAGATCGACAGGTGATTCGACTGTGCTGCTTGAAATGGGTTGCCAAGGTAGACAAGGGACCACTTACATGGGGTCATCTCTCATCTCATGTGCTACCGAGTTGGTATATCTCCATATGGAACAACCGAAATGTTCTCAACAGCGATTTCGAGAGTAGCTTCTCTTCTTAACTCTGTGAGAGAAAGCGAGCTGCAGCAGGAGAGAGTCCGAACCCAGCGATGCTCCATTGAACTGAGACCGTGGGGCCTGCGAAAAAGAGCATATCCTGACTTGATGGCTTCCTTCCTCCAAACTCAGCCAAAGCGGAATGGCTGAAACTCAGACTTGTGGTTTCCCAATGGTCCCAGTCGCAGTACAGTTTGGTCGCATCGCCTCGATCTGTACAATCACATCGAACAGAGCTGTACCTGCGGATCGCATGCCGCAACAGAATCCTTTTGGAGCAGGTCTCGTGCGTCGGCTTTTGGCCCTTATTGAGTCATCGAGACCCCCTGCCGAAAGCCAAGACTCATGCGGCGAAGTAGACGTGACAGGCGGGGACAGCCGTGACGCTTTGCTCCAAGCAAAGCGTGCAGCACTGCCACGATTGCACACCCTGGTCCGGCAGGATCATCGGGTTCATGACTATCTGGCGATCTTTACACTCAGTGCGGCAACTAGCCATGCTAACTACGATGTCAATCCTTGTCAGGTGTTAGGACGAAGTCAGGTGTGGCTTGACAGAGTGAAGGCTCATGTGTCGACACTAGTGACAGTTGCTGCAGTGCCTTGCAGCAGTCTGCAGCAGACTGCCCGCCGCATCTGTCTCAATATTGCAGCAGTTCTGGCTCAGTCCGTAACACCTGCTGAACCCTACGCAGCTGTGTCTAATTTGTGGATGGATGTATACGTAGCTAATCTTATGTCAATGTCTGTGCTTGTGTATGTAACCACAGACGTATGCATATATGCTCCTATACACGTATACACTAGATACCTGCAGTGACTAGTACCGGAAACAGTACACAAACAAGCACATATTTGGTACATGGCGAGATAAGTATATCGTTGACACATCTAGAGACAGATATAACAGGTGCATACATACATGTATCGTCTCTATACGGCTGCATGAAGATACACATGCACCACCGAGTGGCCATCACCAAAGCTGTAGAGTTCCCTTCAGAGCTTCCCGGTCAGGCTGTGCAGCAGCTCTGTCTTGAAACGTCTGGGGCAGCGGAACGGCTCAGGGCCAAGCCTCTGTGCAAGTCACTGGCTGAGGCAGTTGCACGGAGACTTGGCATGAAGTGATCAGCGGCATCGACCTTTCGGCACCAGCGTGCCACTGTATACGCCACCCCAACCTACAGATCTCACCGAAAAGTTAGGGACAAGCACCTGAGTGTCAAAGTCCTCCTCCTACTCATGCTGCTTTTTGCTTTCGCTATGACTGCTCGAAAACTGCTACTGTAATCACATGAGTGACTATTCGTTCTTGTGCGATGGCGTTGAGACTCTGGGCCCTAGAGGGATCCGACCGTCCTGCAATAGTCTTTCCATGCATCACAGGTCCTACAGCTTCCAGTGATAACCCTGTGAAGCAATGGGACATGCTATCATGTGTGAACATACAGTGTTGTTGCATAAATCAGCTTAGCAAAATCTGCGTTCCACATTTACTTAATATTATTACTGCCGACCTATCTGTCTATCTACCTCTGTATTTACCCATCTACCCATCTATCTGTTTATGTATTTATGGCATTGCCTACCTACCTACCTACCTACCTACCTACCTACCTACCTACCTGCCTACGGACCTACGGACCTACGGACCTACGGACCACCGACCTACCACCCTACCCCACCCTACCCTACCCTGCCCTGTCCTACCTATCTACTTACCTACCTATCTACCCACCTAGCTGGCTTACCTACCCACCTTAGCTAGCTATTTACACACCTGTATACATACATACTTTCAGTACAGACATCCGCGTGCGCATGCACGCGCATACTTAGCCACCACCACCACCACCGCCGCCGCCACCACCACCACCACCACCACCACCACCACCACCACCACCACCACCACCACCATACCGGCCGCCATGACAATCACGTCACCACGCCGACATCGACGACTGATGCTCTTGCTTCTTAGCCCGAACGTGTGTGGGAATCCAGAAAGGTGCCCGTTTGCAAGACAAAAGCTTAGTCGAGATTGCAAGGGAAATTCGAACCAGCCGCATAATGCTCGTGTGAAGGGCAAGTATTCTGGGAACCTGTTCTCATCCCCAATCTAGGCGATCACCAGCATGGTCAAGGTTACCACGGTGTGGTGAACCGCATACGTTAATAGGCCGGGGTCTCAAAACCTAAAGCGAATATGTTGCATATGTACATGCAGAATAAGCGTGCTCACTCATACAAATACATGGGCACAACACTGTAGCAGTACGCTCAAATCACGACAAGGACACACTCCATCTCCCCGTGTCCGCTGGGCCGTTCAGCTGCCCCTCGAAACATGCAGCAGCGTTGCAGTGGTCGCGTCTGAAGCTTCAAAAATCAAGGACAGCCCGCAAGTGTTCTTCTGATATCAGGATCAGTGCGAGGATGCTGGTACGAAGCTTCAGCCACGAGAGGAACATGCTGCCGGAGGGTCGACCTGGATCTGATCCGGTAATACTTTGGGAATGCCAAGTAAATTTGGAAGATCTCACAAGAGGAAGCAGGAATCTCAGTTCTGCAGAGCGGATGTGCAAAGTCTGCTGAGCTTAGCATTTTCTTGACATTTACTTGGATCCTGCCCGAAGGCTCTGTACACATGGCTCGGCAACGTGCGGCCCTCTGCGAATTGAAAGCTGGAGGCAGCAAGCGCGAAGCAGGTGTCTTAACTGCATTTTTGTCCGGCTTGGCGATGCGGCTACTGTCAAAGAGTTGTCAGTGCATTGATGTCCAATCGGCGCTGAGACCCTCTTGAGTTCTTGGTGTTGTGCCCCGTGCCTGAAGTGCGGATTTGTTGGGTGTCCCGGTCTTGGTTGGAAAGGACGGGACGCGGCCAGCCTGCACCTTCAGTTGGTATGAAAACATCAGCTTGACTGCCTCCAGAGTTGAAAATTCTTCTACACCACGCTGCTCATCTTGAGCTTTAGGTTTGACCATTACAGAAGCCTGGTCTGCTACACGTACGCGCATTGATTTGGATTGGAGGACTTCCACAGCGACATGTGGCATGGTGCCGCGTGGAACCATACGCATCGGCCTCAAATAGAGCGCGCCTGTCGGTGGCTCTATGTTGCTTTGCTATGCTTTCCAATCATGTCTAAATCCGTCAGTCCAAGCTTTCAAGATTGAGCCGGCTGGGGAGTCAAGTGCATCTCTTGCCCAAGAGCTAAACCCTAAACCCAAGTGAGCAGCCAGTTCGAAGAGCATTGGTAACATGCCATTCAATCAGGTCACCCAGTTTGACTCAAAAGGCAATCGACTTCTTCCTGGATCCGGACTTCTGCTTCGTTCCGCTTGTGGCTAAGAGTGCTACAGCAAAGCAACTGTTCGATGGTGGGCTGACTAGTGTTTATCATGTTACATGACTCGGCATGAGTCTTCGACTCCTTGTTGTTGCTTCGTTATCTTGAGATGCCCCGTCTCGCCACTGATTGACCTGACTGATTGAGACATCGAGGCACAAAGGAAGATCTCGCTGATCTCTCGGCTACTTTGCCGTGGGGGGGCGCACTTAAAGCCACCGCACATCATGAGAGCCTGTAAGCCAGCAACCCAGAATCTGAAACTGAAGCCTTAGCTGGGTGCATATGTTTGGGAAGGCAAGGCTCACATGGCTCTCCCCGGCTTTCCGAGCTCCTGCCGGAACAGATCGATGACCTGCCAGGTGCTCTTCACCGGATCTACAAGGAAGAGTGGGCGCTTAAGTCGCAATGAGTTGTTGCTGCGGACGCCAGCATGTGCAACTGCGGGCGCTTTAAGTGGAGTCTCTCAAAACAAACCTCGTCACGCGGAACCCAAATCTTTCAGAGTTTGTATTCAAGCTGCTCAGGCTGCCAAGCAAACCGTCTCCACCAGGCGAAGCCCTCAAACCGACGCCTTCTCCGAACCATCATCCAAGGCGAGCTGGAGCTGAATCAGATCCTTAAACACATCTCACCGTAGCGTGCAAAAGTGCTTCAGGGCTGTGCTGCAGGTCTTTTCCTTCCGTTTTGTATGCCAAGGCGACCTCGCACTCTGCCCCGAAGCCCGAAATGCCGGAGTAGCTTGTGAAGGTCATGACGAAGGCAGTCACCCAAGAAGCCGAGCGACTCTGTCCAACTGCAAGGAAGCTGCAGCCTGAGCCAAGCCAAGTGTGCTCCTATCCGCCTGGAAGTTTTTTCGAACATTCTGTAAGGGGAGGCGCTCTTGTCATGCTTGCTCCTATCCTGGAAGTTTCGAACACCCATTCTGTAAGGGGAGGCGCTCTTGTCATGCTTCTTGGCCTCTGGGGTTCGGCTGTTGGATACGCTTCATGGTT